CACTGTGAAAACAGATGAAAACATCGAATTTTTCGCCAAAACACATTCGTGTCCAATAAATTTGTTTGAGAGATCTTCATGTTCTGTACGTGCAACATGAGCAAAATCCCTATAAAAGTGATGGGTTTTTGGTTTCCATAGCTCAGTGTTAAGCCACCGACACGCAATACAGTCATGCCGAGACTGAATGAAGCACAACGCAACAACGCCATTGGTCGCTTGGAAGCAGGTGAATCTCGATCTGATGTTGCCAGAGCTGTGAATCACAAGGCTATGGAATCATCACCAACAACATGGATCAACCGTGACCGTCCCAGATCCGGCAGGCCTCATGTGACCACGCCCACACAAGATCGCTACATCCAGTTACGTCATCTTCAGGATAGGACCACCACTGCGACGTCTACTGCCTCAACCATACCAGGGCTGCGTAGGATTTCCGTTCAGACTGTACACAACCGTCTACAAGATGCAGGAATCCGACCTCGATGTCCAGTCAGAGGCATCATCCTCACCCAGCAACATTGTCAAGCACGGCTGCAGTGATCTCGGAAGTTTGGTTCAGAGATGAATCACGTTTTATGCTTCGTAGGCAGGATGGAAGGACCCGTGTATACCGTCGGCAAGGTGAACGTTTTGCAGCAAACTGTGTGCAGGAAGTTGACAGATTTGGTGGTGGTAGTGTCATGATGTGGGCCACATCGCCTACAATGCCAGAACAGACCTTGTGCACATTCGAGGGAATCTTACGGCTCAACGATATGTCGACGAGATTCTTAGGCCCCATGTGCAACCCATCATGGTGAATGTCAACGATGTTTTTCAGCAGGACCACTGCCTTCTTGAGAAACCACAACATCAACGTTCTTCCCTGGCCCTCCAGATCACCAGATTTAAACCCCATTGAACATCTTTGGGACGAGTTGGACCGACGTCTGCGACGGCAACTACCTCAACCGCAGACTCAACCTCAGCTTGCACCAGTTTTGCAGGCTGAGTGGACAGCCATTCCAGAGAATGTGATATGTCATCTCATCGCTTCCATAGGCAGGAGATGCCAAGCAGTTATCGATGCTCATGGGGGGGCATACTCGTTATTGACGTTGAGTGACGCTAAACTTCACCTAGTGACCATGGACTTCACCTTTGCAGACTTTGGATGTTCTTCAGTGCATGTGCAAAGTTTCACAAATGTCATACAGAACTACCCGGAATAAACTTGTTCACAATTTGTCTCAAATATTGCCTTTTGCATTTTTTTTTTGAAGAGTTTATTATCTACAACCATTACAGACTTTAACTAGGATTACTCTAACACTGAATGTAGACAATCATTACATAATACAGTTACATGTAACTAACTGAAACCACAGGGTCTGTGTTATATCCACGATTATTACAAAAACATAAATGCAACAACTACAACTGTTTTTTCAATAATACTGTTTCTATGCTACACTTTGTGCAAATTACTGATATTCATTTTGAACGTCATTTTAAAACTGTAACGGAAAGAATTACAGTTAATATCCTTTCATTTATGTTCCATGAATTAATAAAATTCTTCAAAGAAATCACACTGGCACTTTTAAACAACATATAAATTCTATACTCTCTTGCTTAAATTTTGACTATACGAAAAGTTCATCATCTCTGTGGATGGCTTTTGCCATGTTAAGTTGTAATAAAATGCTTCAGACTGAATGTTACGTACAAATTCAAACTTAATTTTCAAGTTTAATATTGTTTAACACAATATTTTTCCAGTATTTTTTAGAAGATTAAAAGACTAGAAAGTATATACACCTTCACGTTCTACATGAGAATGAATCAATTTGAAAAATTTATCATTATGAAATAATTCGCTTTAGATACAGTCAGACCCCGTTTATCCGAACACTTTGTTTTTTTATTGAATTGTTCGGACAAACGAATCATTCGGATGTCTGAATCAGGACCTAGGCGGTCGGCTACACGTGAAAACAAAACAACTAAAAATAACATTGAAACATAACTACATCTTTATTTAACATAACATCTTGCATAACATAAAATAACATAAATTAAATCGGCTTGAAAAAGTCTTTGACTGATGATTGTTGATGGACAGAGTTGTTATTTGCTGCTTGGATTGTCGCCGACATTTTCAAATCCATTGCATCCATTGGCTGAATGTGTGCGGTTGTGTTGGATGGCAGGAAATGGACAGTCACGCTGGACAGTCATGCTCTGCTGTCATCCACGCTTTTGTGTTGTTTCTATATTTAGCATGCACCTCCGTCTTTATTTATGCTTACTCACTAAACGATTTGAATCAGAGTCAACTCAATGTCAAACTTTAATTGTTTCTTCTCTAATTAACCTACACGCCCTGTGATAAATATTCAATAAACAATGAATTAACTAGCAGCCAGCACAATGTTTTGACAAGCGGTAGACATGATAGACTTCGTGTTTTGATACCTCGCCGACAACAGACCTTGGGTTTTTATATAGATTGAGCACTGCTGAGAAGCGGTAAACATCAGACATCGCCGACGACAGCCTCGGTGTTCGGATATACGAGGCAAATTTGTAATATTTTGCTGTTTCGTTACCAAAATTGACCGTTCGGACACGAAAACCGAACATTCAGATATACGAGGTAACTTGTAACTAGAAAATTTCGTTTTTTGTGAAGAATGTTCGGAAACCGAGGTATTCGGATATCTGAAGTTCAGATATACGACGTCTGACTGTATATCTTTCAAAGGAAGGTATTTACTCATCATATATTAGAAACGCTGTATCATTTCTATTCACGATAGTGCAGGTGTTTCAGTGATTACCCCCCTGGCATTCACCAGTCTGACAGTTATATTAGTTACTAGTGTTAAGTCTGGGCTACTACACATTCACTTTAAGGCAAACACTGGCCATGCAGATTCATGCAAACATTGCAACAAGTTAGATTTGTACTCTTGCCGGGTGACTGTGTGTGTCTTGGCATTCACAGCTGGGCCCTGTTTCAAAAGCTATCGTAGCGCTACGACTGTTGTAAGTCTATGTGACAGTATAGAGGAGTTACGACAGTTGTAGAGCTAAGATAGCTTTGAGAAACGGGGCCCAGGCTTATTGTGGGAGGGAAACCAAGAGTAACATCGGAGGAAACCTTTTTATGCCACAAGAAACACTATTTTTCCAAGTTTTGCCAAAATCTGTGAGTGGGTCAGTGTGCTTTACAAAGAATAAAGTATGATAAGGGTGCTCTCTGGACCACAGGATATGCATAACATCGTCATCATATCAGAGTCAGGCAAACCTTCATAAAAGCCTTTTTAGGGGATATTTCAATATGTGAAGGTCAATATGGTGAGTGAGTTTAGTTTTATGCTGACTTTTAGCAATATTCCAGCAATATCACGGCGGGGGACATCAGAAATGGGCATCACACATTGTACCCATGGGGGGAATTGAACCCAGGTCTTCAAAGTGACAAGCAAATGTTTTAACTACTAGGCTACCCAGTCATTATAGCACTACTTCTGTACTTGATCCAGTCAGTAGTCCAAGATATGCTTTGTTTGCACTTTAATGCCATTTCAGATATATTCTGGCATTACAATGATAGCCTGTAAATGATTACGTCTGAACAAGCCAACCTAATGACTGATATTATGAGCAATGTCCTACACTATCTGGGTATGGCGACACGGAATCAATCAAGTCCACTGAATATCAAATCCATTAATTTGCCTCTATGACAAGCATGGGGACCTATTTTAACCTGGAGTGAGTGAGTGAGTGAGTGAAGTTTTACATGCACTCAGCAATATGCCAGCAATATGGTGAGTCTATAAATAACTGAGTCTGGACCAGACAATCCAGTGATCAACAGCATAAGCATCGATTTTAACCTGGATTCCCCACAGCAATCTCAGCTTGCGGTGAAACTAAACTAAACTATTCACCCTTATCACACTTTGTCCCTTAGAACTTAAACATGGCCATGTACATGAATTATCCAACAGCCTTTGGCACTGATCAATAATCATGCAGACATGATCATGCTGAGGTGCAATGCATGCATGCAAGTTGTCACAGATCTTTCCACTAAATTTCATTATTATTGAAAACTTCATGTCAAATACACTAATAAAACAATGATGTAACAGTGACATGTAGCACTATGGTTGATTCTTAGTGAGTGAGAGACTGAGTACTACTTTGCTGGCACCAATATACTGCTGCAACCATTGAGGTAAAGTTGGGTTCTACATCACTATTAAGATTATTCCCTTCATTGCGTGAAGTGCATGTATGAGTTGGCAAGCTGCTTTTACAAGCATACCTGAATTACTGAGCAAGTTAAATGAGAAACCAATTTATATGGATACCCCACTCAGAAACATTCCATGTGTATACTAATTCTGAGCCCACCATTACTTTTCTTATCCCCAAAATACCAAGTGCCAGGCTGGGTAACAACAAGTACCCCGTTTGCAAAATCATTCGGTATTGCATGGCCGGGGGATAAAACCACTTGGCATTTGCTCTCCAGGCAGATGCCTTTTTCTCTAGACCAGAGAGGTAGTCTACTGCTGTAACAGGCTCTTAAGTATGAACAAAACTACAGATCAACAATCCTTACCACCGAGATTCAATGCCATACAATTAAGTGGTCACAAATCACAGTTATGTTCCTACTCGGCAGCAGTTTTTCCAATACAATCCCTGCAACAGTCAGTTCTTATAACAAACGTAAAGGTAAGTGGGGCCTATTCTGCCTCGAAATACAAACAGGAAGTACTCTCACCTGAACTAATCATAATCTAAGTCAAAGTGTTACTTTTCACCTCAAAATATTATTTCCTCAGAGTAACGAAAAAATATTTCTGAGATGTGAGGCGATTAATTACAACCAACAAGTTCACAAGTCTTTTCTTTTCCTGCAAAACAAATGTCTTTTAAAGTAAAAAATGTGTACACAATCAAAGCACCTACAGCCCTACCAGTCTTACCTTAATCTTGAGCTTGAATCCGCTTCGTGTCATCTGATTGCACTGGTTCAGGTCTTATATTCGAATTACTAGATTCTAAATTTGGTTTGAGGTCGATCAAAGGTGATGATGCCTTCCTCTTAGTTCCAGTTTCTCGCTGATCATGTGACTCCCCTCGCACAAATAACGGCTTCTTCTCTGGCGTGACATCGACGTCAATCATCTCGATGTCCTCGGACTGCGATCCCTTTGTGGGTGTGGTCTCCTCAGCTTGTGACATCTCATCAAACAGCTCATCCTGTGGTAGATTAAATGCACTGCTATATCTCTGGATGTAAAGAGTTACGAGTCAAGAACTACAGTTCTTTCATAGCTATTCCAGAGACGCTGTTGGCTCAATGTAACAGGAATTCCCACAGCAATTTGCCGTAATGGTGAAAACCTTATGAGAAGGGCAAAGTAGCAGATTCTGGCAGAACCAATGGACATAACTCACCAGGGACAGAATAATGTGAAGTGAAATTTGTAATATTCCAGCTACTGTAAATATTCAAGTCTTGACTAGATTCATATTATAACCAGCATCCAAACCCTATGAGATATGACATGAAATCCCCATTGCTGACCACTTATCCATACAATCACACGAAGATATCACTCACCTCTGTCTTCTCCGGAACTATGGTTGGATTCAGCATGGTGGTTTTCTCTTTCAAGTTGAGCACTAGAACACTCTGCAATGTAGAATAGGGCCTCCATACAACAAACAGGCAAAGACTACTTAGTAGCACAGGATAAGTGTTAATGGTATTGTATTTGTACTTGTGCATTAAACATATGTGAGCGATTAAATGATACAAACCTGTGAACATCATGTCAATGATATCACAGCATAACAGTTTAACACCAGAGAAACACTCAGTGTGAATCAGGTACCAGATTTGGAGTGTGTGAGTGAGTCTAGTTTTATGCCGCTTTTAGCTATATTCAAGCAATATCACGGCAGGGGACACCAGAAATAGGTTTCACAAATTGTGCCCATGTGAGGATTTAAACTCTGGTCTTTGGCATGATAAGCAAATGCCTTAACCACTAGGCTACCCCACCGCCCCTCCCGATTTGGAAACCTGCAACCATGGTTATGGTGATGACAAACAACATGGACCAGATTAAGTTTGGAGGAAAGGCTGAAATGAAGCAATATTTTCCATTTCAATTAAACCGATGACAATAAGTAAGGTGCAAACAAACCAGTAAGCACTTACACAGGATGAATCTGGATTCAAACTCACAGTCAGTGATTTCTTGCACACATTAGGGATGCAACTCTCCACTGCAAGTTTATGACGTAAATTGCAATGCAAAATGTACATGTAGACTAGATGATACTACATTTAATGCATAAGTCTTCTGCTGTGGTCTGGAGGCAAAAACCCGTGAAGATCTGGGTTAGAATTGATCTTCAGTAACCCATGCTTGTCTAAAAGGCGACTAACAGGATCAGGTGGTCTGGCTCGCTGACTTGATTGACACATGTCATCGTATCCCAATTGCATAGGTCAATGTTCACACTGTTGATCCCTGGATTGTCTGGTCCAGACTCGATTATTTACAAACCGACGCCATATAGCTGGAATATTGCTGAGTGCGGTGTAAAACTAAAGTCACTCACTCACTCTAGAGGCAATACTGACCTCTGGTATAGCCAGGCAGGTTGGTCGTGTGCGGCCATACAGAACATGGTACAAGTCCGCAATACCACATCTCAGGCGGCTGTCGTGGGACAGTGAGGAGCTGCAGACAAGAATCAGTGGTGTAAGTCAAGTGGTCAGCTACAATCTAGGGTCATTACTTAGTGACACTGAAACCCCTTTGTTTTCAACATTAGCCAGTGTAAGCCGACGAAATACATTCAACATTTCAAAACATACAGCTAGATAAGAGTTAATTGTTTCACAGAAATATCTCTTGCCTCTATAGGCAAATAGTGAGTGAGCGAGTGAATATTGCATAATGCCACATTGGTAATTTGCAGCTATTCATGGCGATACCAAAGGTGAGTAAAGATGATATATATACTAATATCTTAATATGAATGGTTCTAAGTGTCAATGAAATGCATCAAATATGACCACTTTGGTAAATCAGTGCCAACGAAAACATGTAAGCAATCTAACTTGTGGACACTGAGCACACCCAGACCCCACACCCAACACCCCACTGCTCTAATGAGCATGTTTAGTCATAGTCAACAATATTACAGCTACACAATGGTGGCCATGAAGTATCTAGTGTATGACAGCACAAGCAATAATATTAAGTATCAACTAGATCACAAACTGTAACAACCTGCATACTTAAACAATGATGGCTGAAAGAAGTTCACTTCGTTATAAAACCATTTCATCTATGCTGCAGATTCTGGATCCCAAGTCCTGAACCTCCTGACCCGTGAAGGTTCGGGTAAGAATGAACTTTTCAGTATCCCTTGCTTGTCGTAAGAGGCGACTAACGGCATCGGGTAGTCAGGCTCGCTGGCTTGGTTAACACATGTCATCGGTTCCTAGTTGTACAGATCAATGCTCATGCTGTTGATCACTGCATTGTCTGGTCCAGATTTGATTATTTACAGATTGCCGCCATATAGCTGGAATATTGCAGAGTGCGGCGTAAAACTAAACTCACTCACTTACTCCTGAACCTCCTCCTGTTACATGAGGTGTACTCACTTCATCATCTTCCAGAGTCTTTCCACCAGGCCATCTGTATTGAGAGGATTGCTGTCTGACTTCTTAAAGGGAGGGTTTTCTATAAGTAGCTGTAGAGCACCATGTCTGAAATACAGTCACATACCCTGAGAAATTATTTATGTTCTGTCACCATATTGTTATAAATCACATTGTGATTTGAAAACTGATTAATCTGAAAAAACAACAACATATTAATCTGAAAAAACAACAGCATATAGTCATCATAACTACAAGCTGTTTGTTGTGTCCGTAATATTCTAGCTATGTGTAAAGATGCCTGTAAATAATCAAATCTGAACCAGACATTCAGTGATTGACATCAGCTGTATTGCTTTACATTATTGAGAAACACTGGCATGCTTAACATCATGTGGAAAAGCATGACCACCCAAAACCATTTACTCACCTCTTACAACAGACAACCTGTGAAGGTCAGGGTTAGAATGAACCTTCAGTAACAGCATCCTCGATAATCTCAAGGGTATACGTTACGATCACTCTCCACTATACCCTGGATGCATCCACGGCTTGGCCCCATAATTATATTACCTCCCTGGGAAGTTGAGCGAACCAATCACAACTCACTTTCGCTTCTTAAATTATCTAACCGTTTAAACTTGGCAACACAATTGATGCAGAGGTACTCTGAAAGAGGTAGAAGGAGTTTTAGATCTGTCAATTTGTCTGTATTATTTTTCCACAAATCTGAGTGGCACTGTGAACAAACTTCACGACTGCGACCGCTATCTTTGTTGACACTGGCAAGCTCGGATGTAACGGCGGCTTATCTGATTGGCTGCTGTGAGAATGCGGAGCCAGCAAAAGGAGGTAATATAATTATGGGGCCAAGCCGTGGATGCATCCAGGGTATAGTGGAGAGTGATCGTAACGTATGCCTGGAGATTATCGAGGATGCAGTAACCCATGCTTGTCGTAAAGAGGCAACTAACGGGATTTGGTGGTCAGGCTTGCTGGCTTGGTTGACACATGTCATTGGTTTCCAATTGCGCAGGTCGATGTTCATGCTGTTGATCACTGGATTGTCTGGTCCAGATGCGATTATTTACAGACCGCCGCCATATAGCTGGAATATTGCTGAGTGCAGCATAAAACTCAACTCACACACTCACACACTACAACAGACATAGGTTGTTACGGATATATATTATCACCAATACTCGTCATCGGTTATTACTTAGCTGTGAAGATCCTGATTAGTTGATTGCTTGTTGCAAGTAGCGACTAATGGGATCAGGTGTTCAGGATTGATGACACAATAGACACATGCCATTGTATCCCAAACGCATAGATCAATGCAATGCTCATGATGTCGATCACTGGATTGTCAGGTCCCGACACGATTATTTTCGAACTGCTGTCATATAGCCAAAAAAATTGCTGAGTGCAGTGTTACACAAATAAGGAAATGGGTCATTACTGCAAGTAATATCAAAATGTTAAGTACTGCCAGAAATCATGTTCCAATCTGGATTATTGTCAGTTAGTAAATGGCAATCTAAGTTTAACAGCACCCTATATAATCACATCTGGACAGGGCGGTGGGGTAGCCTAGTGCTTAAAGCATTCACTCATCACACGGAAGGCCTGGGTTTGATTCCCCACATGGGTACAATGTGTGAAGCCCATTTCTGGTGTCCCTCACGGTGATATTGCTGGAACATTGCTAAAAGCAGCGTAACATTATACTCACTCACTCACTCAAGTCTGGACCAATCAGACCAAGACAGGCAAATCCAAATTAGTCACCTCTTAAGACAAGCATGTTTTTCTTGTGACCCTTCATGCCTTGGAATCTTCATTTGATTAATTTTAACTGGAATATTCCAGTGTGTGGTATAAAACACCAGCACTTGCAATGATTATGGTGTTTTCTTCTCATATCAGGCACACTTTTTACCTGACTAGGATGTCCGGATCCGTCTCAATCATATCCAATAACCATTTCATGGTGTCAGAGTTACGGTCAACTGCAAATGCAAATGTTTTGACTTGTCAACATTATAAAAATGAGAGACATGCAAATACTTTTAGCACATGAGCCGAAATATTTTTGGTCCAGTTCCTCATTCAGTTACAAAAGTTATGGTTGAATTACTATGAAAAACAAAGTCTACTGCCCAAAGAAATTCAGTATATTATTTCATTGGTAATACCTTCAACACATAAAGATAGGTTCTATAATTTCAAAAAGATAATCATTTAAATAAATGTGAATATTTTTAAAAATTATGTTTAACTGACACAACAAGCTTCATGTTATGCTTCACTTCTGCAAATTTTAGGAACATTTGAAACGATGTTAATAAACAGCAATACTTCTGAGATCTTATGATATGGTTTGGGCAACAAGAATGGGCTCAAAACATACGTGGAAAATAACTTGTTATGACACACTTGACTACAAGTGACCTATGACACAAAAAGGGTGTACTGATAAAAAGAAATGTTTTGTGATTTCCCTGTTGAAAGTAAGTGATGGTGTTACCTTTAATAAAGTCTACAATAGCACTGAATGCAGCTAGTCTGACATCCCGGAACACTCCATATGCGGCATAGCTCTTGAAGAGCTCTGGGTCGTTGGGTAGGTGGCCAAACTTCTGCAGGCTGCGTATCGCCCGTATACAACTAAAACAAAGTAGCATCACTCCTTGTTCAATCTTAGAGGATGAAACACGTTCTTGCATAGAATCTTGAAATTTTAACATAATTCGGTAATTTACATCTTGGTTATCTTAAATGCATGGTGGGAGGTGTTTTACTGGAATTCTTGAAAGGCATTTTGAAGTTTGGTGAACATGAATACATGACACGTTTTATGCATAACCTGATGAAGGAGCAGAATAAGCTCTGAAACGTTGTGTAAAGAATAAAAAGAAGCTGTTGTCCATAAAACATATCATGTATTCAGGTGTTTTATTGTATATATTGTTTAGCAACTGTCCATCTCTTTTTATCAGCTGTTGATGAATGTAATTCAATATAAAGCATAAAATGTTTGCTAGCTATGTATAAGGTGTATGTCATTAATAAAAGACAGAAGAGACAGTATGCTTTTTGTTTGTCTGTATGAAGTTATGGGCCAATAATATGATGGGCGAGGTGTTTGGTTTGGGATGGACAGGGATTAAAATAGGAGGACTTATGGCTTGTTCTGTGACATGTTTTCATGACCAGGATTGAGGTTCTTGGAAAATATATCTAGAGTGACCTCCCTTAGTTGTAGTTGTAACTACCACATTTTTTACTTCCTCCCTCATCTGACTCCCTTCAGCTACTTCCTCCCTCACCTGAATCCCTTCAGCTACTTCCTCCCTCACCGGACTCCCTTCAGCTACTTCCTCCCTCACCTGACTCCCTTCAGCTGCTTCCTCCCTCACCTGACTCCCTTCAGCTACTTCCTCCCTCACCGGACTCCCTTCAGCTACTTCCTCCCTCACCGGACTCCCTTCAGCTACTTCCTCCCTCACCGGACTCCCTTCAGCTGCTTCCTCCCTCACCTGAATCCCTTCAGCTACTTGCTCCCTCACCGGACTCCCTTCAGCTGCTTCCTCCCTCACCTGACTCCCTTCAGCTGCTTCCTCCCTCACCTGACGCCCTTCAGCTACTTCCTCCCTCACCTGACTTCCTTCAGCTACTTCATCCCTCACCTGATTTCCTTCAGCTACTTCCTCCCTCACCGGACTCCCTTCAGCTACTTCATCCCTCACCTGACTTCCTTCAGCTACTTCCTCCCTCACCTGACTCCTTCAGCTACTTCATCCCTCACCTGACTTCCTTCAGCTACTTCATCCCTCACCTGACTCCCTTCAGCTACTTCATCCCTCACCTGACTTCCTTCAGCTACTTCCTCCCTCACCTGACTCCCTTCAGCTACTTCATCCCTCACCTGACTCCCTTCAGCTACTACCTCCCTCACCTGACTCCCTTCAGCTACTTCATCCCTCACCTGACTTCCTTCAGCTACTTCCTCCCTCACCGGACTCCCTTCAGCTACTTCATCCCTTACCTGACTTCCTTCAGCTACTTCATCCCTCACCTGACTTCCTTCAGCTACTTCATCCCTCACCTGACTTCCTTCAGCTACTTCATCCCTTACCTGACTGTAACTGTATGTCTGTAGCAAGGAAGCAGCTTCTCCAGATTCAGACATCTTGTGATCTCTTCAAGAAACTGTTTTGTGTCTGCAGTCAGACTGTCTGTACTTTTACCAAGTCTGTGTAAAAAGAAGGTGCATATGTACGCATGTTCATGGCCAAGAAATTAAAAACATATTGGCCATGAAATTGAAGGAAATTGTAGACTGTCATAGACTATTTTGGAAATATTGTCGTAAATGTATGAGAGCTAGATACGTTTCGTAAGTCAATTTTACCTCACCCGAGATGGCAGCATACTTCTCAAAAGCTATAAAAAATCTGCTTTATATTGAAATGTGACATTTTATGCTTTTAATACATGATTCAATCAGCCCTTCGAGCACATGAAAAATGCATAATATTGTTACTTGTGACAGCCATCCCCACAACTATGAAGTGGTATACATAATCAGGAAGAGAACATCTTTGGAAGCACATGAAGAACCATAGCCACGTCCTAGGGTCACCCAAATGTCACGAAGACTGCAACTGTGTGTTATACTACTGGCATCTGGTGTCCGTTTCACAAGCAATCGCAGCTCTATGACGGTCGTAACTCTATGTTAAAGTATAGGAGTTACGGCAGTCTTATCGCTGCAGTAACTTTGTGAAACCGGTCTCCGGGTGGTATTTTAGTGCAACATCTTCATAATGATGAATAGGTTTGAAAATTAGTTGTAAAAACATTTTTGATGACTGGATGAGTGGGTGAGTGAGTGAGTTTAGTTTTATGCCGCACTCAGCAATATTCCAGCTATATGGCGGCGGTCTGTAAATAATCGAGTCTGGACCAGACAATTCAGTGATCAACAGCATGAGCATCGATCTGCGCAATTGGGAAACCGATGACGTGTCAACCAAGTCAGCGAGCCTGACCACCTGATCCCGTTAGTCGCGATGACTGGATGAACCCAATCAATCCATTATAGAAATTCATCAGTTACCAACACTTTGCTGTTTATTTTGAGGATGAGCTGAGAAAAACTAGATCACTATCTTGCCATGATTACTCCTTGGACAGAAGAAGAAGTACATGTAACTACTTACTCCGAGATTACTACCGGAGTGACAGCAGGGGTAATGGTGGCAGACATTGCATCAATGAGAGCAGCTCTGTAGTAGTTGTCTGAATACTGCAAGAAAATATTATATGTCAGAACTATAAACACAATATCATAATTATAACCACTGGTTTATTCCTAAAGGCAAAAGAGTGGAACGGATGAACCTGTATTCGAAAGTGAGAGCAGATTCATCAGTGGTCAATATATAGTGTGCGCGCATGTCAACACCATAAGGATAAAATATCAATCAGGTGAAGGCTGAGATCATCCCAGGTGGCCATCAAAATGCAACTGGACAAGTATATTCAGAAGTTATTCCAGAAATACATGTACAAAGGAACATTATACATATTTAGACAATAAACAACTCGTGATGAGGAATGACAGATTATCTTTCCTGAGTTATATTAACTAAATATACGTAATTCTTGGGAAAGATAATCTGTCATTCCCCGTCACGAGTTGGTTACTGTTTTTATTACCCATATCAGTTTTCGATCTAAAAACGCTAAAATGAAAACAGCTGTTTCTCTGTAAGGAAACCCGCAATGTGGGGACCCCATATCCCTATGCGTGTGATTGGCTGTTTATTTTCTGAAACAGCCAATCAATGTTCACCAAAAGGTGTAACCTCCCGAGGGACTTACAGAAAATATAGTACCCTGTGTCCTCCTTCCCATATGGGTAATACATGCATGCCCTTTTTTCAACCTGTACCTTGTTCTTGCTGTTGTCGTTGTACTTGAAGAGGTCCAGCAGGAAGCGCATCACCTCAGGAGGACAGATACAGTGGACAGTTCTCAGGTTGGCCATAGCCATTGGGATGGTCTGCAGTGCAATAGACAAAGGTGTTGACCATCACAATACATGCTTGTCTACACTTTGTTTTCCCATCCATACCTGTTAATATTTACAGCCTTCATGTATCTGGTATGTGATATATACATAATGAGATGAGTTTGCATGATATTTCCAAGCCTACCACTGCATGCCCTTTAAGCAGTGTGTAAAGCTAATCATTGCTATGAATGGACCTGTACAACTCATAATTTTTTCAAGCAAAAAACATTGCACGTCACTGTGAGCAACCATATGCATAAATTGGTTATGGAGGAACGGACAATGAGTGAGTGAGTTGGGGTTTACGCAGCTTTTAGCAATGTCCCTGCAATATCACGGCAGGGACACCAGAAATGGGCTTCACATATTATACTCATGTGGGATCAATTGAAGTTGTGATACACTTCATGATATAAAGATTACATGTCAACTGAGGTCATCAAGTAAAACAAGTCTACAACAAACTCCAAGTGATCACTGAATTTGCATAGGGATTAACATGGTGGTTAAAGCTTTTGCTTGTCACATCAAATACATAGGTTCAAGTCCCCATATGCGTACAAGGTATAAAGTCCATTTGGGAATACTGCTAAAATATTGTACAATGTTACTTACCATACCCATTGCTCAGGACCTAGCCCCGTTAGTTAATGGTAGCATCATTATTATGAAAAACCTTTGAACCATGATCACTAAACTGCTTGTGAACTATTGTTACTGATCTGTACCTTAAGCAGGAAGTAGTGCTGGAAGTTGCTGAAGTTGTTCTGTCGGATGATGGCCTGGCATGAGTGAGACCCGAACATCTTCTTGAACATGATCATCATGGCTGGAGGCCCGGTCCATCCCGCTACCATGGAGTTAGCTACCTGCAATGCCATCCCACCTTATATAACATGACAAGATTACGAGTCAAGCAACAGAGAGAGAGAGAGTGAATATTGTTTGATTCCAAAGTAATTGAAACCAGGAATCAAGAAATGACCAACACACAATTCAAACAATTTCTAGGAGAAGCATAAATTACTTCTAACACGAAATTCCATGGGGTGAAAATGTTGCCTCATCTACTCAAGTTTTACTTATGAATATGTACAGCAGTCATTTCCAAACACAATGTCCAGTGCACGTTTGTTTTAGTGTTTTTGATTCAAATGAAAATTTCAAGTTAATGCTGATTCAATACGCATTTCAGAGTTCATAGGAATGATATAACCATCTTTCTACTTGATGCCATAAATGCAGTTCTGTTTCTCAATTAAAAAAAGACAACTTCCAAGTTTGACCAACCTTAGCTAGACAGATGCAGGCATCCATCCGCACCTTGTAGAAGCAGTGTTCGTTCTCTATAGTGTCTGTCAGCGCCAAGCGAGTCTGTGGAGTTGGGTAGTGCTCCAAGGCCCAAATACCCTGGAAACAAAGAATCTTTATAAGAGTCAGGTACAGAATCAGTAAAAAAAATGTCAAGTGGCTGACAGTGAGGTGAGGTGAAATGGGGTTTAACATTGAACTTGAGAATATTTCACTCATAGGACAACATGCATGCGTGTGTATGTGTGGCTGCTTAAGCTGGTTTTATAGTGCTTGCTCACTGAGATACCATGTCGCAGTTCAGCACGAAATACCCACTCAGACACAATATATAGCTGACCAGTCCTTGTTGTACCCATTAACGCTGAGCGCCAGGCCGGGACCAACAAGTATCATATTTTAACGTCTTTTGGTATGACGCGGCCGGGGATGGAACCTGCGACCTTCCGCCCTGCTAAAAAATGTGCTAAAAACTACACCACAGAGGCGGGTGGCTAACAGTTAGAACACATGGGAACAACTTAAACCAGGTTCCTCAGCATGAAGAGTAAATACTCTAAACAGCTGGACTCACTGAAATGCTTTCAAAATTTAGCTTAGTTGAGTGATGTGTCCCATGAACATGCAACTGCTCTTCAAATCCATAAATAGTTGTCCTAAGAATCTTTGACCAAAACTGTGGCATGCCTCAGATGACTCACTGCTTCCTCAGTGTGTTAGTGACAACAGGCCACCATTACCCTTTGCTGGTTGTACAATGCAACTACAGGTATCTGGTGGTCAAACTCACTGACTTGGTCCATTACATATTATTGTAATTCACGATCTATCACGTGATCAAAGGGCATGGCGCATGTTATGATTTTGCTGTGAGAATTTTTCCTCAGCGCAAGATTCATAGTGATACATACAGTCAATAATCTGGTGAATATTCTTTCTTAACTTACACATAAACCTCAGAGCGAATATGGGGGTTGATATTGTTGAATGGAGGGCGAAAATTGGATGTTTCAGTCCACGAGGCAGGCGAGGCCATGTTATGCACCCCGGTATAACAATACCACACGGGACATGTTTGTGTTTGCGTCTGATTCTTCTCTCTTTGACTCTCTTACTTGTTGCTGGCGATGTTGAGGCATACCCAGGGCCTCCTAAATCCACATCAGACAGAATTCAAACGCGTTTATCAGTTCAAAATGTGTCTGGACAGTGTATAACCTCTGACCCCCACCTTTACAACACTGAATGACCTCACTGCAACGCTGGCCTCAATACAGCTGCAGATCACTAAATTGAATGACAAGTTTGACATGTTTGCCCAGGACTATAATAAAAAGATCTCTGTACTCCAACAGGAAAACATGTCATTGAAAACCAAACTCTCCGACCTTGAAGTCAAAACAGATAAAATTGAGGCGCAGTCTCGAAAAACAAACTTAATATTTCATGGTTTACCTGACATACAAGGAGAGAAGTGGGATGAGAGTGAAAGGTGTGTTAGAGATTTTATGGAAGCTTCGCTTCATCTAGATAATGCCACATCTCTTCCCATTGAACGAGCTCATAGGCTACATTCAAAGTCTGGAACTCGGCCTATCATTGTCAGTTTTACGTTCTTTAAAGATAAATGTGCTGTTCTGGATGCTGCCAAAAAGTATCTCAAGGGCAACAAAGACTTCAGAGTCTCAGAAGATTTTACTGAGATAGTGCGTAGAGCTAGGTCCCAACTATTCCCCTTCATGAAGGCTGCGCGAGATGATGGTAAAGTGTCTTATATGAACTATGACAAGCTAGTAATAGATGGTGCTGTCTATGTGTTTGACTATGAGATGAACAATATTAGACAAGTTGGCCAGAGGCGTGGATGGGTTTCTCATAAACCAAACCAGTCACATCTCTCAGAATCTGTCTCAGAAACTGTCCCTCCAAGATAAGATTCCGGCCATGACTCCCGTTCATCCAAAACACATTTTGAATATTCAGATGACTCTCACAATACAAATACTTGCAACACCAAGGAACAGGATTACCCTACTACAATTTCTACTCAGTCGCCTGTACACATTTGTACCTCAGTAACTGATACAGTAACCTCTCAGGATACTGATGTAGATCAATGTACTGCCTGCAGTAAAACAGCAAATAATGAAATGACCACAATATGTACATGGAACATACATGGCTTTAAATCAAAAGTTAAGTATACTGAATTTACAGGTTTTTGTAAACATTTTGATATATTTGGTTTACTTGAAACAATGTGTTCTGATTCATCAAATGAGTTGCAGACTATCTTTCATGAACACGATATCATTGTTAGCAATGCTAAACGTTCTGGAAACAAAGGACAGTTTTCAGGCTTGCTGTTTGTAAAACAAATGTATATCTTCTTATTTTTTTAAATGCAAGAGTTCTGCCAGAAAAAATTCTTCAGGCACAAATGACCAGTTTTCCACCTGTTCCTGGTATTTGCATGCATCCACCCTGAGCATTCTCCTGTCTACCATAATGAGGAGTCTAACGGTATGTTGCAAGACCAACAAATCATGTTTGACTATGGAGAAAACTTCAGTTGATTTTAATGCAAGAGTTTAAGAAGTCGCATCTGCCAGTGATGGAATTTATGAAACTATTTGAATGCAAAATTTATTGTACTTCAGAAGATGCACAAATGACCAGTTACCCTTCCACCTGTTCCTGGTATTTGCATGCATCCACCCTGAGCATTCTCCTGTCTACCATAATGAGGAGTCTAACGGTATACACAAGTTGCAAGACCAACTTAGTACAATCATGTTTGACTATGGAGAAAACTATAAATTGATTATCAGTGGTGATTTTAATGCAATGACGGAGATTGAAATTGATTATGAAAATCTAAGAAGCATAAACTCTTAAATAAATTCAGAACTTTTAAATGTGATGAGAATTTATGAAACTATTTGAATGCAAAAATCTGAATATAAGAAGATATGTACTTTAAAGCAAAACTTATACAAGATGAAATTGAGTAATGAAATAAATGATGCTGCCAAATATGGTGATTGTAAAGAATTCTGGAGAACTGTAAAGAAATATCTGAAGGGCTATGCTGGTGAAAATGATGTAGCACCCGAAGTGTGGTATGAATACTTTAAGGGTCTTTTAAACCCCACAGAAGCAACAAAGTTGAGTGAATTTGATAAATTAGTATCTGAATTTTTAGATTCTCACTCATGCACAGATTGTAATGACTTTCCTTCTACAGATCAACTCTTGTCAGGTGAAATCAGTGAACATGAGATTAAACAAGCATTGAATGAATTAAAGATTGGTAAAGCTCCTGGTATGGATGGAACATCACCTGAATTTCTTAAGAGTATAAGTCAGTTCATAATTCTGTATCTTAAACTATTGTTTAATAAGATTTTGGATACTGGTGTATTTCCAGATGCTTGGAATGTAGGAATGATACTTTCTCTTTATAAATCTGGAAACAAATTGGAACCCAGCAATTATGGGGGTATATCTATATTACATGTCACAGGTAATCTATTTTCTGCTGTAATTGAAAAACGTATCAGAATTTGGCTTGATGTAAATGATTTACTATCAGAACCCCAAGCAGGATTTCGACATAACTATTCTATAGTAGACAATGTATTTGTTCTTCAAGCTTTATGTACTAAATACCTAAGCAGACCAAAGGGGCTTTTTTATTACGCATTCATTGATTTTAAAAAGGCTTTTGATTATGTGGATAGGAAGAAAATGCTTTATTTATTGATTCATAAAGGTTTAAGAGGAAAAATAGCAATTGTATTAAAAAATATGTATGCATCAATCAAAGCATATATCAGAACAGACAAAGGTATTACGGATTGTTTTACAACTTCAAGTGGTGTTAGACAAGGGTGTGTTCTTAGCCCAGTTTTATTTATATTTTTCATCAATGAACTTGTATCTGATATGTATAATGAATGTGATCATGGTGTATTTGTTTCTCAGGAAATTGTAGATATAATACTTTTTCTTTTTGCAGATGATATTGCTTTGTTATCTTATTCAGTTAGTGGCTTACAGAAACAGTTAAATGTATTACAGTCTTATTGTTCCAAATGTGGCTTAACAGTGAACTTAGATAAACCTAATGTGATTGTTTTTAGAAATGGTGGCACTGGTATTGTAAATAGATTTGAAAAATGGACATATTGTAATACAACTATGAAGACAGTTTCATATCATAAGTATTTAGGATTGATGATGTCTTCTAGACTAGTATGGTCTACAGCATGTAAGCAGTTAGCACTTCAAGCATCTAAAGCAATAATGCCTGTTCATAATTTGTTCAAGCAAAATGATTTTATATCATTTAATGTAGCTTCTTCTATTTTTGATAATAAATTGCACCCATTCTATTATATGGTTCTGAAATTTGGGGTGTAAAATATCATGACTCTATAGAGAAAATACAAACTTTATATTTCAAGAAATATTTAGGTGTCGGTAAATATGCTTCCGACAAAGCGATTCTTGGCGAAACAGGTAGATATTCTATGTTTGTTTCAACACAATTAAGAGCAGACAGATATTGGATAAAGATAATGCGTATGGAGGCTTATGGATACCCGTATCAATGTTATATTATGTTAAAACAATTAGATGACAAAGGTAAAAATAGCTAGGTGTCTGATATTTGAAATATTCTTTTCATGTGTTGGTTCTCTTATGCATGGATATCACAGGATGTCGGTGATAAAAAAATGTTTAATTTCATCCTTAAACAAAGAATAAAAGACATATTTTACCAAAATTGGCATTCTTATGTAGACTCATCCAAATATCTTTCTCATTATGCTCTTGTAAAATCGTTATTAACGCCTGAAAAATATTTAACTGTATTACATGACAAATATTTGAGAAGAGCTTTTAGTAAACTCAGAATCTCCTTGCATGATTCCAATGTAAACTCTGAGCGGAAAGGTAAAAATTTAAATCCAAGTGAAATTAAATGTGTCAAATGTAATAGCAACCAGGTCGAAGATGAATATCATGTGTTATTTGTGTGTTAGCACTATCGAGACCTGCGAAATAAATATCTTCCAAACTTATGTCCAGGATACAAAGATCAACATTTGATGATAAATCTTTTAAATTCTAAAAATGAAGATGTTATTACCTCTGTTGCTCGTTTTCTGAAAAATGTATTTATATATAGATGTAAAACGTGATAAGTATGTAAACTTTGAACATATGTAACTGTACTATGGGTCGTTTGGCCTAAAATGCTGAATAAACTGTCTGTTTGTCTGTCTGTCAATTGTAATTCAAATGCTTGGGATATAGGTTACATTATCAAGAAATTGTTTTAACGTCAAGATTTTATTATTAGCAAGAATGTATCAAATTCTGGATTATTGCCAAGTGTTGTATTAAACAATAAAAGGCAAATATTACATCTGCAGGCATAAATAACAGCTACCTTGTTTGCCTATCAGTTCCAGTTTCCATATTTTTCTGTGTACATTATTGCATCATCAAGAGCCTAGCATCAGAGATTGATATGAACATTTCTACATGAAGTAACTTATCAGACAGACAATAGTGGAACATAACACTGACATAGCCAACAAAATGTGTGAAAAATATAAAGAAAAACAAAACTTGTTCCAAAAACCAATATGACACACAGTCTCAGGTGAGGTGAGGTGAAATTAGGTTTAACGTCGTGCTTGAGAATATTTCGCTCATATGACGACGTGCATGCGTGTGTATGTGCGGCTGCTTGTACTAGCCCAGACTTAGGCTGGTTTTATAGTGCTAGCCCACTGAGATACCATGCCGCAGTGAAGCATGAATACCCCACTCAGACACATTATACTGACTCCGAGCTGAACAGTCCTTGTTGTATCCATTAATGCCGAGGGCCAGGCAGGAACCAACAAGTACCACATTTTAACGTCGTTTGGTGTGACGCGGTTGTAGATCGAACCCGCAGACGGCAGACGCTCTAACCACTACACCACGGAGGCGGTACACAGTCTCAGGTAATAACCTCAATTAATTGTCTCACCTGTAACTGAGCAGACACGTCTCGTTCAAACTTGAGCTGGTACTGCCACATGTAATCAGGCTGCTCCCAGGTGACATGGCGGAGAAGCTGCAGGTCTGCGTCCACTCTCAGCCACAGCACCGGAGAGTCCGCACTGCAAAATCCTATCCTCATCAGTATACAGGGAACAAACAATCTGTATCAAATCCATGACTACATGAATCACAGACTTTAGGGGTGGAGGGGTAGACTAGTGGTTACTAGTCATCATGAAAATTAGATCCAGGTTCTATTCGCCACATTGGTACAATGTGTGAAACCCATTTCTGGTGTCCCCTGTCGTGATATTGCTAGAGTCTGGGCCAAACATTCCAGTGATCAACAGTATGGACATCGATCTGCACAATTGGGAACCGATGACATGTGTCAACCAAGTCAGCCAGCCTGACCACCCAATCCCGTTAGTCGCCTCTTACGACAAGCATGGGTTACTGAAGATCAATTCTAACCCGGATCTTCACGGGTATCCACTCAGAAAGATGCCAAATTATCCAGGTAAATTGTATTACCAATCTATATGCCAAATACTTGGACCCACTCAGCCTCAAGATGCTGGTGTGAATTATTAGTCTTCAGCGACCCATGCTCGTCAGACTAATAATGCGATCAGACTTGCAGACTCAGTTGATGCCTGTCATTGTTTCCCAACTGTCTTGGCAAGACTAAATTATTTACTAACCACTGTCATATAGCTGAAATGTAGCTGTGTGTTTCATTAAACAAACAAAAAAAGGCCTAAGCTTCAACATGGACGTTACATAACTATCTTCAACTTTCCAACCAGTGTCAGAAACAGACACACACAAGTGTTTTATTGGACAACCCAAAACAAAAAAGGCAGGAAGAACATATTTCTCTTATGAAAACGATGAAAAAGTTATGTTTCTAACCACTTACTTTCACATTTTATGCTACAGAATATTTGGCATTAGCCATAATAATCAACAGGTATCTATCATGAATCCATACTTACTCCATAGCACTTAGGTCCATGTCAACTTCTTCTCCTGTGATTAATGGAATCTTCTTTTTCTTGTTCCTGTTCAAGAATATCATTACAATTTCATAAAATACAAACATTGTGATACATACAGTCAGGTTTAATGGAGCTTTGAAGTGTATTTCACTTGATACAAAATATGTGGGCATCAAAGTGAGATGACAGATTCTTATACAGTGAACACTTCAAACATTCAATATGGATCATGCTGATTCATTGGAGTTTAGTTGCTGTGTAAGAAACTGCTTGTACATTGAATGGAGTCAACTGATCTGTTCTAATCTTACCTCCTACTTTTGGAATGGCATGTTATCTCAAACTTGGTCTTGTTTTCCTCAATCTTGAAGGTGTGGTTAAAGGAGCCATCCAACTCCTGGATGGTCACTGTTAGAGGGCCCTGTGACAAAGAAACAACTGTCAATACAGACAAACTTTATGGAAAACAACTTGTATATTACATAACATTTCCATACAGACTCTTGCACCGTTGTCAAGCAGGAATGACACTCAAAACAGGAACAACTGTCAATATTGCAAGGAAATATGTTTGTTACATGTGAGTTTGAAAACAACTTACTCAAAACTTGCCAAAAGTTTCAGACTTAAACATTCACAAGGGACATAACATGTACTTCCTCACTGCTTGCTGGTTATCATCTGATTTAATGTCCTGCTACTTACCACATATTTCAGGGCACCCTTGGCATTAAGGTCCTGCTTTATCTCCAGCTCAACAACATTCCTCTTGCGATTGAACACAAAGTTACCGAAGAAATGGGCACAACCACTCTGATAACTGGTGTCTTGTGAAGGAGAATATGGTAGCTACAAAATGGCAGGTGCAAATACAGAACATTATAACCTTTGGAAATCTGGGAAAATGCATCATCATTTCTGTCCCTTTGCAGTTTGTTAAGTCTACATACTTTCTAGAACTGGTACATGACAAAGTGACTGTCAGCCTCATATCTAAATAGGACCAATCATTAACAAGGATACACCCACAAGTCGATAAAAGGCTGGATGTCTTTTCCTGTAACTGTGTAGATGATCTTGAGAAACTGAAAGAAGAAATAAATAATAACCATACATATAAAAAAAATCAAAAATAGAAAGTATTCAATATCTGGAGAAATATGTAATTTTTTAAGTAAAATTGATATTTTTATACTTATCCTGACTCATGACGAGAAGCCCTCCCAACCTCCCCATTGAAGACACTTGAGATTTCGCAGCAGATCCAAGTGCATGGGCAGAAATTCAGGAGAGAGTGATAAGTAAGGCAGGTCACCTGACTGTTTTGCGCGGGAAAGGGCAAAAGGGAGGTAACTTGTGGATAAGTGTATTTATACGTCCGCTATCGGGAACTTCAAGGGATTCAAGTGTTCTACTACCATTCGAAAGGGAAAGGGAGATAAGCAAACGATCATGAGTCAGGATAAGTAAAAATGATAAAATATATAGTAACCTTGTATTCTCATCCCTAGTTATCTGAACTCTGGTTACCAGGTAACCTTGAGACTGATCACTTGATTATTTCAAACCCACTTGCCTATAACCAAGTATCATGAGGCTGGTTATCTCATCAAAACATGTAAGTTCAATGGTGATTTCAACATCTTTATTGTCTTAATCCAGGTAATCTGGGCATCGACGTTATCAGCCTTGGTGTCTCAATCCATGTTATCTACTCACTGATAACATCAACCCGTGGTGTCATAATCCAGGTTATCTCGACATAGATGAGTGAGTGAGTGAGTTTAGTTTTACGATGTACTCAGCAATATTCCAGCTATATGGTGGCGGTCTGTAAATAACCGAGCCTGGACCAAACGATCCATGGATCAACAGCATGCGCATCAATCTACACAATTGGGATATTGACATAGATGATTATTAGCCTTTGTTTAAAGTTTATTAGGGATATCATCTATTCAGAGTCATAGATAAGGTCATCTCAAGTTGGTGTTTACCTGGAGTTCTAATTACATTTAGCTGAAGCCCCTTAAACTACTGTAGAGTGATTAAACCAGAAACAGAAGACTATTTCAGAGCAAGAACAATGGGGTAAACTCACAGATGATGTGGAGACAAGCATGTTGGACCAGGTGTTAGCAAAGAACTTCTGCTGTGAGGCTGTGAAGGCAAGAGCTTGAAGCTTGTTCAACACCTGCAAAAACAATTGTAAAGTAATCACACAGAAGACACAAGGTAGACACTGAGTTTACTTTTACGACATTTTTAGCAATATTCCAGCAAGGCATGGGACACAGTGGGGATAGCCTAATGGTTAAAGCAACTGCTCATCACGCTGAAGATCCAGGTTCGATTCCCCACATGGGTACAATATGTGAAACCCATTTCTAGTGTCCCCCACTGTGATATTACTGGAATATTGCTAAAAGCGGCATAAAACCATACTCACTGAATCAACCAGCATGCACACAGACTGACTTTGCCATCTGTATGTTGATGATAGTTACCTGCAGAAGCAGCTCGGAGCCCAGCCTGAACTCCAGCATGCGGATGACCAGCAGGGCCTTCTTGACAAACACATCTAGGTACTTGGGGGACACGGTGTGGGGACTCTTGATGGAGAAGTGCTGGTTGGTCTCCTTGCCCACAGGGTCCAGCACCACACCTCCCACCTTACCCTCGTACTCACACACGTCCTGCAGATGCTACAACACAGTCACCTAGCATGTAGGAATGGCAGCTCAAGGTTGAACATTTCTTTATTTTAATTTCTGTTTAAAGAGCACCACAGATGTCATCAAACTTGAATTAGTGAGTTTAATAAAATCTGAAGTAAATCCTTTGAATTTAATTAACCATGGCCATATTTTAACAGGTCATTTATCTTCCAGGGTAAGTATCTCGAACCCAGCTTCATTCTGAATCTGATTCAACACAACCCTAAACATCACAAAACCCCTCTCCTTTGATGACTGAAACAAGGGGTATTAGGACTTTGATTCTCCCATCTTAATTCTTATGAAAATATTTTTGCTTGCTTTACTAAACATTTATAACACTGTCCTAATATGATTAAAGAGTGCAAATAAACAGCCACATTTGTTCATGCCAAGCTCAGACATTTCAAGCTCAGAGCAAGAAACTTCTACGCCAAGTTGGAGATAAGGGAAATGAAAGCTAAGCTTTGGTGACGAACTGGTCCAGGGTATTTTTCCAAAACATATAATACTGTGACTGTGGGTAAAGTGGGATGCCTTGACACTGACCTTGTAAATGGTCATCTTGTGGTCATTGTTACCAAATGTCTTCTTGATGAACAGACTAGAAAGATAGTTGGCCATTCCTTTGGGCAACCATGCATCATTCCTGTAAGACATACCATCATTAAATACAAACATTGGCAAGGAATAGAGCTGAAAGCATTTACTTCCCTTGTCTGCTATTTGTGTTTCCAACATATTTCATGAAAAAGCAACAAGACAAGTCATGTTTCCATCATTCGGGACAACCATGACTGAACACGGACAACAGCTTACCAGGACTGCATGGCAATGAAGGCACCAAAGAACTGTTCTGCAACTGCAGTGGCCATGAGTCGCCGTGTTATGAAGGTCTGGTCGATGATACGTGAGGAATGAAGTAGATCAACACTGGTGACAAAAGAAGAGAAAGTTTAAAAAAATCTTGAGACAACATGCGTGATCATTAAGGCCACTCAACAAACCCCCATCACCAACATGCTGGCTCTGCACAGAGTGAGTGAGTGAGTGAGTTACGTTTTACACCGCTTTAGCAATATTCCAGCAATTTCATGGCAGGGGACACCAGAAATGGGCTTCACACATTGTACCCATGTGGGGAATCGAACCCGGGTCTTCAGCGTGACAAGCGAATGCTTTAACCACTAGGCAACCCCACTGCCCCGGCTCTGCACAGTAGGATGGTGAGTTGGAGGAGGGCTCCCTTTCTAAATATGTCACAAGTTACCCTGAGTCAGTCCCTCTATGTTGTATTTTTGTTTGACCAAGTTAAATATCCTCTATCAGTTATTCTTATTGTGAACTTTTTTACAAGTGGTAAGTACATCCTCAGGCTCTAGTTATTAAAACTGTTTTCAGAACTGAGAATGAAATTGTAAACAGATGTCTCATGAGCTCTTAAATATCATTTAGTTCCAGTTCCAAAACTTCATTCAAACCTTCATGCAGTTGTTTGGTAAAATGTCCACAGAAGCCAAGTTTGTTTGATGCAGAAGAATGTCATTGCAGAAATCTGTACTATGGCAAAGAACATAGAATTGTATCCCTTACTTTGTGAAAGCAGTGTACAGGCCAAATTGTCAACTTTTCGTTACCTGAAGATGGTCATGGTAGCATAAGAAGAGGCATCTACATAACTCTCATCCACAAACACCTGCTTGTAGCAGGAGTAGGGATATCTACTGGACAGCAGCTCCTCATAGAACTCAAAAGACTGAAATAAATATGAAATTTTTAGAGTAAAATTAATATTTTATACTTATCCTGACTCATGCTTATTGCTTGTCTTCTTCTTCTTGCGAACATAGTGGAACACGTGTATCTCCCAATTGAAGTTCCCTTCAATTAAAAAATCACTAATTAGCACTCACCACGAGTTACCTCCCTTCCACAAGCGCGGGAACAAGGGCGCGCCACCTGAACCCATGTGCCTCACTCTCTCCTTTTGTTTCGAGCCCGACACTTTATTTTTCCGAAGAAATCCAAAGTGTTAAGTGGGGAGGACGGGAGGGCTTACCTCATGAGTCAGGATAAGTATAAAATATTAATTTTACTCTAAAAAATTCATATTTTTCCTTATCCTGACTCATGCTTATTGCTTGTAGAATCCGACGGAAAAGGAGGTGGGAATATATATACTTTGGATTTTAATAATTAGTGATTTGAACTGTGATGATTGTAATAACCCTATGGGAACTTCATAAAGGCACTGAACTGATGAATTCCTGCTGTTTAACTTATCAGCTGCCATATAAAGGTTATTACAATTTATTGAATATGATAAAAGTATATACAACATTAATGTAAGTTGAAGCTATTAATGTGATAGTATAAACTTCTGTGAGTTTATAGTGGATACTTTTATAAATTAACCAAAGTATTAAGCTTAAGATATGCATATATTTAAGCTATAATAGTATAGTACAGTGCTTAAGATATAATTATAACTTAAGCTGTATAATAGTAACCAACTCTTTAGAGTTTGTTAGCTAATACATTTATGCATATGACCATATGACTGAGCTTAAGGATTGATGAAACTTAAGCTGAACATATATATAGTAGCAAAACTCCTAGGAGTTGTAAGCTTATATATAGTATGATATAAAAACCATAGTACTGAGCTTAAGATAATAAATTAAACTTAAGCAAAATATATAGATAGCATGTAGCTATTAGTACTGTTATCAGATAAGTATAAAATCTGTAAGATAGACTTATCTTCTCCGTGGAACTGTCAACTGTTGAGCGAGGACCATGGGACCGAAATGGTGGATACCTGAGACGTCCTCGGTGGTGATATCTCTCAGATAGTGGTTGGCAAACACCATATCGGATCTCCAGAAACATCCCTCCATTATGGTATTCAACGAGCAATTCCCATGTAGAGCGAGAGTTGAGGCTAGCGCGCTCTAATTTCGTGAGGATTAGAAGCTCTTGGAGGGTCGAGTCCTGCAGCCTTGTAGGCACGTAGTATGACAGTTCTGATCAAGATAGAGATCGTGAGTACGCGGAGACTTCCGTCTGCGTAGCTGTAGATATAGGGATAAATAATCTCTTGAATTTCCCTCTGCTCTGTTTGGATCGTTGGAGATATATTTTCAGTGCTCTCACTGGGCATAGTGATAGATCCATCGTATCATCATGCGGTCCAAGTATGGATGAGAGAGCTGGGGCGTGGAATAATCTGTCTGGTTGACCTGGCAGTTGGTTTTTCGCTATAAAATCCCAGCGAAGTCCCAGATGAGCGATGTTATGAATATCATCAAAGCGTGTTCTCTCGTAATCCAATGCGTGAATCTCTGACATCCTGGCGGCCGTAGCTAGTGCTAACAGGAATAAGGTTTTGTGGGTCAGTGATTCAAACGATGTAGATAGCAATGGTTCATAAGCCTCACTAGTGAGGTGTTGGAGCACTATATTTAGATCCCAGGCTGGAGCGTGAAACTTCCGTTTCTGATCCTCCAATCGGAACGCTCGTAACAAAGCGAGTAACTCTGGTGTTTTTGTTAACTTCACGCCCGTTCGCATAGTTATGACAGAACTTATAGCTGCAAGATAAGTGGACATGGTTGAGCCTTTTAGATTCTTAGTTTGCCGTAGATAACATAAGAAATCTGCCACTTGAGGATGTGTAGCATATCTGGCTGTAAATCCTTTCCTAGCAGCGTAATTGACAAAACTGTGCCATTTGTCATCGTACAAGTTACGAGTTGAGTTACGTAGTGCAAGCGTGACCGCTTTAGCCGCTCTGGCAGAATAACCTCTCTTATTCAGACATGCCTTGATACAATCCATACGTGAAGTTGGAATGCTTCTGGTGTTTCGTGCACTTGTTTGGTGTGCGGATGTATCAATAGCCAGTAGGGCGCGACTAAAATCAGATGGAGGCTCTGCGTTTGACTGATTTTCTGTAAGACTTGTGGGATCAACGCTGGAGGCGGGAAAGCGTACGCGTTGAGTCTCTCCCACGATATGCTTAGTGTGTCCGTTGCCCATGCTAGTGGGTCTGGCACTGGCGACATGAATGTTGTCAGTTGCTTGTTGAATCGAGTTGCGAATAGGTCTATCAGTGGAGATCCTATTTCCATGATTATTTGATTGAATATCTCTGTGTGGAGCATCCATTCTGTCGGCGATGGTTGGTGTGGCCGAGAGAGAGCGTCTGCTAATACATTCTTTGCTCCTGGAATGTGGCAAGCTCTGACGTGTATGTTTAGATTGTCGATTAAATCGAACAGTCTGAAACATCGAGCCAGTAGGTTCTGTGACCTTGTTGAACCTTGTTTGTTCACATAAAACGCCACTGTTGAATTGTCTGTGTGAACCATCAACTGAGCGTTCTGTAGTATGTTGCTCCAGTGACTTATGGCGTTTATGACTGCTTGCATCTCTAGCAGATTTATGTGACATTTGCTCTCTTGATTGCTCCATAGGCCTGACGCTGTCCTGCCAGCAAGGTGGGCTCCCCAACCTTGTAGTGACGCGTCTACGTAAACATGTGTGTTCGATTCCGGCTGTGGAGGCTAAGGAGACGCCTGCACAAACATTCAATCTCTTGGTCCACCAGAGTAGATGTGGTTTGACATAATCTGGTAGACTGAATGGTAGTGGGTCCTCGAGATGAGCATTGATGAGGACTTGTAACGGACGTAATTGAAGCCTGCCTCTGACTGTCAAGTCTTGAGCTGATGTGAGTAGTCCCAATAGGCTCTGCCACTGTCGTAGTGGTAACGGAGAGAGTAGGGCTCGAGGAATAAGTTGTTGGATCTTGATCCATCTGTCCTCCGGGACTACAATACAATTCTGAGCTGTTAGAAATCGTATACCTAGAAATTGCAGATCCTTCGTTGGTTCTAGGTCCGACTTGAGTAGATTTACTAACCATCCTAATTGTGTTAGTAGCTTGATTATAAAGTTCAGCTGTAGTCTGAGACGCTGTGGATCTGGATCCACTTGTATACCGTCGTCTAGGTAAAAAGCGCTGCGAAGACCTTGACGATGTAGGTATGAGACAATAGGCTTGGTCACTCTTGTGAATACCCAAGGGGCCGATGTGATTCCCGAAGGGAAGAACCTTCCATTGGTAATGTTTCCCGTCTAGGATAAATCTTAGATATTTCCTTGAGTTGGGATGAATCGGAATGTGTAGATATGCGTCTTGCAAATCTATGCTGGCCATGTAATCTTTGGGACGAATTAAATGCCGAACTTGCGGTAAGTGTATCATGCGAAACATTGGTGGTTTGCATAGATATTCTCTGTTGAAGATGCTCATGTTGTATATGAGACGAAACTTCTCCTTGGAGTTTTTCTTCGGCACTAGGAAAACTGGGGAGTAGAAACCTGGTACGATGTTTCGTTGATCCAGAACTTCTAAGGCCTGTTTGTTTAGTAGAGTAAGTACTGTTTCTCTTAACATAGGTAGTTGTGCCGGTTGAACGTTGAACCCTGTGGGGTTGACTGTTAACGGAGGCTTGGCCTTGAGTTGTATTAGATATCCGTGCTGTAGGATGTTGGATACATATGGATCTTGTAGTATTCCCCAGTTTTCCCAGTGTAGCTGAAGGCGTCCACCCACTTGAGACGGTTGTACTAGACGGCTGGGGGTGGAAGACTCCAGTCGTTCCGAACCTGAATTTCATCGTCTAAATCCACGGGCACCTCTGGATGATCTGCCTCTAGATGATCCTCCCCTAAATTTGTTGTATGGGCTTACTCTTAAAAGAATCCTTGGGATCTTTAGCTGCAGCTAATTTCTTGTCCCGCGTGCTTTCTGAAGCCCGAAAACTTAGACTTGCCTGAGTATCTCTGTGTTGACTGTTTAATGACGTTCGCTAAGGTATCCATGGATCTGATCATAAGAACCTCTCGAAGTCTTTAGATACTTCTTTGGAGACCTTGTCTATGTTGCCACCAAACAGTAAGGGCGATGACCATGGAGCTGTGTATAGAGATTCTGTAAATTGCTTATCCCAAGAGCAGGAGGCTAGTAAGCCTTGCCGACAAGCCATGGTAGTAGTTTCAGTAAGCGCTGACAGGTGCTCTGTAAGAAATTGGTGGTCTCTTTTCTGCATGAGTAGAGCTGAGTAGATCATTCTATCTTCCTCCTCTGTAGAATTCTTGAACTTGGAGATGAGAGTTTCATTAATCATTCTAGATCTATTCAATCCAAAGAACATTCTCCTGGCGATGGTATCTAATTGAGCTAAATTTCGCGATCGCCTACTTTGTAACTTCTGGACTTGGCATCGCTGATTAATTTAAAGTTGTCATCAATATCCTGGGCCTTGAAAAAGGGGTCCATATTGTGTCCAGAAAAATTTCTTGGCATTGAAGACCGGGAAATGTGTAGATTGGACTTTCGAAGATTTGGAACAGGCTGTATCCAGATTAGCTGGTACCGCTGCAATCGGTCAATAGGAGGTAAGGTGATATTGTCTACATCATCATCCTTCATCAGGTAAGTCTGAGTTGAATTCTCGCTCTCTTCGATGGGGAAGCAAGTTGTAACTCATTCACCATCCAGTATCTAATCTCAGCATCTGAGAAAATGATACCTTCTTCCTCTGATGTAGGGTCACATGTCGGAGTCCTAGATCTGTAGGAAGATCTATGAGAGGACTGTGGTGAACGGACTGACGAGTGGCTAGTGTAAGAAGTCCTTGGAGGAGACATCCTTGGCGAACGCTGGGGACTTCGCGAAGCTCTTCTAAATCTTCTGGGCGAGGTAGATATGGAGCCACTTAGCCTTCGCGACCTTCGCGAATGTATCGAGTCAGTGTCCGAATCGACATATGAGCTCTTGCTTCGCGAACGACCTCTGTGTTCTACAGGGTGTGGGCTCGGCGAAGCGCTCCTTCTCTGCGATGTCCCTCGCAACTGGAGAGGCTCCAGCTCCTTCGCGGAGGTGGCCTGGGACTTCCTTTGCGAAGTGATCACTACGGGCTGGGTTGCCCTTCGCGGAGGCACGTTTGTGGGCTCTGGGGCCCTACGCGAAGCCAAGCCGGGCTCTGGGGCCCTGTATGACTTATTATGGATTGGGCTCTGGGGCCCGTGGCTCTGGGGCCTCTGTAAACCGTAACGGTCCTCCATCAGTCTCATGATTTGGTTAACCAGGTCGTCTGGGACGGTTTGCGCTGGCATTGAGGGTGGCCTCTCTGTGAAAGTGACGGGACCCTCAATCTTAAACTCAGGCGTCAGCATAGGCATCTCTGGTTGCGTGTTGATCTGCGCTGTAGTGACGGTAGCAGATACTGGACGTTTCTTATGACGTACATCTGGAATGATAATCAGAATGTCATCATCATATAAACATAATTCTGAGACAGGTAGAATATCGGAGGCAAAATTATTTGTAGCTTTCGTAGATTTCCCTTTTGACAAAGCTGTGGACCTGGGGGTTCGAAGCGTACGTTGAGATGATGTGGACGCTTTCCTAGTCTTAGACTGTGAAGACGGAATGTCTTGAGATGCAGGTCGCTTCTTGGACATAGCGGACTGCGTCCCACGCTTATCCCCCGAGGGAAACTCCGGTAGGCCACCAGCCGGTGGCGGGTCGTCAGTCAACAGTTGACAGGGTATAATAGCTTCCGATCTATTAGCCATGACTGAAGATTGTTTACGAGATTTATCTGCCTTCCGTCTCAAAACGGAACATAAATATTTATCAAAGGCAGAAATTGGTAAATTAATACAAAATTTACAACGAAACAATAGAACATGGAGTAATGCAACTAGGGCATTTTAAATGTGGATCGGTAGCGAATAACGTGTTTACAACCTGTGCAGATTCTCATTAACGTAAACTGCTGAACAAACACGGCGAACCGTGAATAAAACAGCAGAAACATGAATAATAATCAATGCAAGTTGAATAAGGATACTAGTTACACCTCTATAACTGAATATAAGAGGTACTAAACTAAATATAAATAAAGGATATAGTGTGTTGGGAGACACAGGCGCTCTCACGTCCAGCTCACTGGGCGAAGAAGGAGAGAGTGAGGCACATGGGTTCAGGTGGCGCCCTCGTTCCCGCGCTTGTGGAAGGGAGGTAACTCGTGGTGAGTGCTAATTAGTGATTTTTTAATTGAAGGGAACTTCAATTGGGAGATACACGTGTTCCACTATGTTCGCAAGAAGAAGAAGACAAGCAATAAGCATGAGTCAGGATAAGGAAAAATAATGAATTTATAAATGAAATCAATCTTTCATTGAGGAGTTTGTAGTCACATGACTGAAATAACACCAGAAGCAGTTAAACTCAAATAGGATGTGGTGATATAGCTGTACAGTCTCTTGTATCACTATGTCATATTTCAAATGATGATTTCCAGTTTGTTCACCTTGTGCAGGTTTTTGCCTTACGAAAAAAGGAAGAATACGACTGTTACAGCATTTCACCCCAGCTGGACTTACCTCATGTAGGTAGCTAGTGGTATGTTTCAGCACTGAAGACAGGTGAGGCAAACAAAAGTGGGTCACTTCATGCATATTGGGATCAACCAGGATCTCAAATGGTCTGCAAAACAAAATGCCAGTTTATAAGCCAGCTTAGAGGAAAGCTGAGGCAAGGTTAATGCAATACTGAGTTTGGGGTAAACTATCCACACTTTTTCCAAGAACACAATGGAAATTCTGGAACAAAATTGATCACAAAAAATCAAAGACTGTCCATGTATTTTTGTCTACAAAGTCTGAGAATAGATAATGGTTGAAAAGTCCAAGTTCATAAATCAGCAGATCCATGGAAAATTCTGATCCTATACTATAACAGATCTAAACACTGACATACCCAACAGCCAGGGCAATGTTTGGGGCTGCGGTTGGTGTTGACAGGTAGTAATGAAAGGTCTTCTTCTTCATGTCCGGTGTGTAGATGACCTCAATCAGATCCCCACAGGACACAGCAGTCATCTCGCGGTCAACAGTGAACTCCAGCTTCCATGAACATGGCTCTGAGAATGTGTCCACACAAGGGAACCACAGCCTGCCAAATAAGCCACGCTGGTAAAAACGATTGTATGTATGTATGTATATAAGGTTTTAGGGCGACCTTGGGCCTTAAAAGGCCTATATGCGCTCAACACTTAACAAACTGTTATATTTTTGTTCAGTTAAATAACATCGTACTTACCCGTTTTAACGAGGAAGTCTAAAAGAGCTCTTTGTATGCAACCATACATTAAATTATCGCCAAGTATTGCGTTCATTGAAAATGCATTTTGGGCTTTGTTAAGCACAGTTTCTTTAAGAGCCTTACGTGGGTTTTCATGAGCTGGACATTCAATGAGGTAGTGCTGAACTGTTTCTGGGCACTGTAAGTTACAGCTTTCACACAGAGGAGATAAGTCTTTATCTAAAAATACTTCTATATGCCTTTAATCCACAATGTCCCAGCCTGAGGCAGAGTTAAAACAACTTCATCTCTCGCGACAAACGACGGCAATTTTAAAATGTTTGTTTACTACAGGACAAGTAGAGTGCATGTGTCTACCTGTAGTTTCATTATCCCATTTATTTTGCCAAGATGCATTTATTGAAGATGAAATGACAAACCAGTAATCTCTTGGAATGGGCTTAATTGAATGAATATCTGGCTGTGGTCTGTTGCAAGCCATCTTAGCAATTGTGTCAACTACTTCGTTTCCAGCTACACCAACATGTGCAGGAATCCAAAACAATATCACAGCTGATGTACATGGAGTTTAAAACAGTATCAAGATACAAGATGTCATTATAGTATGTCACTCTGCGAGAACCTTGTACACCTGATTGAATTGCTTGTACAGCTGACAACGAATCAGTAAAAATATTGCTTAGTGTTCATTATCTTTTACCCATTTTAAAGCTTGAAGTATGGATGTCAGTTCTGCTGCAAATACAGACAGATGATCAGTCAATCTAAATCTTTTGGATAAACCAAGATCGGAATATAGAAAGCCCCACCAACATGACCGGTTCTGGGATCCTTTGAAGCATCAGTGTAAATATGAGTAAAATTGCTATATTTGGTGTGAATGTAATCTTGGGTCAGGATTTTAATAACACTTGGTGACATTTGTTTGTTTACAAGCTCGGATAAATCCTGTGAAATCGAAGGTTGTGTTAAAGTCCATGGAACCGCTTTTAGGGAGAGATCGAGCAGCATTCAACTGAAGATTGTTTAACTTGTACTGTAATGCAAATTGTTGTACAAGTAATCCAAACGGTGGTTTTCCATGATTCCAATCACACATGACATATTCCACGCAATCACACAATATATCAGTTGCTGGTTGATACCTAGAGGAAGCTTTTAAGGATAAATAGTACTTAAGGGCAACTTTAAGACGATGATATTGCAAAGGAGGTTCTGAGCATTCCATCTGCAGGGCAGAAACTGGAGTAGTAGGAAAAGCACCAGTGCATATCCGAAGAGCTTTGGCTTGAACACGATCAAGTTTAGCCAAATGACATTTTGCAGCATTCATAAAAACTTGACAGCCATATTCTAATCTAGACAAAATTAGTGCTTTGTACAACAGAAGCAAGGATGATTTATCAGCACCCCACTTTGTGGCAGACACGCTTTTCAGTAAATTGAGAGCTTTAGTACATTTTGATGAAATGTAGTTGATGTGGTTAGACCAAGTGAGTTTTTGATCAAAGATTACACCCAAAAATTTAAATTCAGCAACAAATTTTATGTCCTGACCACCAATGTGTAGCTTCAGATTTGGAGGAACTTTACGTCTAGTGAAGAACATAGCAACTGATTTAGAAGTTGAAATCTTGAACCCCCACTTTGAACACCAAACATCTATAGAAGTTAGAGCTAATTGGATAGACTTATGAACAAACTCAATGTTTCCAAAACGCCTCCAACAAGCACCGTCATCTGCAAATTGTGATGCATCAATGTTTAAAGGAAGTTCAGAAAAAAAAATCATTGATCATTATATTAAAGAGCAAAGGGCTTATAACACTGCCCTGTGGAGTGCCATTTACGATAATTAGCATGTCAGACACGTGTTGCCCAATACTGAACTTGTATGGTTCGATCAGTTAGGAAGGACTTTATCCACTGTAGCATACGCCCCTTTACCCCCAAGCTTTGCAGTTTAAATAAAGTCCATTTCTCCATAGCATATCATATGCCTTTTCAATGTCTAAAATACACACAGCATATACTCTTGGTTTCCTAGTGCTTTTTTTGTGCTTCATTTTGTAGTCGAACTAGATGATCTATGCAAGAACGAAGTTTTCCTAAACCCACACTGTAGCCTCGTTAATAATTCATTTGATTCTAAGTAGAAATTCAAGCGATTTGTGACCAACCTTTCCATGATTTTACACAGGTTAGACGTTAAGGCTATTGGTCTGTATGAAACAGGGCTGAGATGGATCTTTACCAGGTTTGGGAACAGGGATAACAACAGCGTGTCTCCAGCTTTTGGGTAACTTCCCAGATATCCAGCTTTGATTTATGATATTAAGTATGACTTCTAGAGCTGAATCTGGCATATGTTTAAAGTGTTTGTAACACAATTCATCGGCACCAGGAGATGTATTCTTGCCCTTTGATATTGCCGATTTTAATTCTCCCAGGTGGAAGGATAAATCATATTCAGGAAAAGGTTGTAGTAAAGAATCTGAAATTATTGGAATAATCTCATTCTCCAAATTTGTGATTTCGTTTTTTAAATTTGTTGAAAAGTTTTCAGCTGCTAACAACCTCAAACTGATCTGCTAAAAGATTTGCTTTCTCTTCACAGGAAATAGCGCTTTGATCCAAAACAGGAATAGGGGATCTATTACGGTTCCCACTAATCCTTTTACCTTGACCCAAATTGAAGATAAGGAAGTATGCCTGTTTATTGTAGATATGTAAGAACGCCAACTGCTGCGCTTTTTAATGATCGTTACAAGGCGTTGGAATTCAGCCCGTTTTTTCGAAAAGTCGTCTAAATCAACTGGTATGGATGTCCTGCAAAGTCGGTTATAAGCCTTTTGCCGAGCTTTATCGGCTTTATCACAATCCTTATTCCACCAATACTGAGAATTTCGAGTAGTTGGCTTTCGGGAAGTTTTACCAATAGCTTTTTCTGAGATTTTAGTCAGAGATAAAGTTAGATTACAAGTTGAGCGTTCAATGTCATCTGTAAGCAGATCACAGGTTATTTCATTTGAACAAAGTTCAACAAATTTATGCCAATTTGCAGATTTAAATCTCCATCTAGAAAGTCCATGTGCAGGTGTTGAAGAGGTGTAAACGATATTTCAGTGAAAACTGGAAAGTGATCACTACCCAGACTGTCGTGTTGATAAACACCCCATTGGCATTTGTGTGATAAGATCGTTAAAACAAGGGTAAGATCCAATGCTGAGAAAGTAAAGTTACCAGTATTTATATCGGGTCATTTGGCCAGAGTTTAGCAATATTAAACCTGTGTCATCCAAAAGAGTTTCTACAACTTGACCAGCATGATTTGTATGCCTGCTCCCCCACAGTGCATTATGACTATTGAAATCACCACATATCAAAACTGGTGTATCTACAGAATTTGTCAGCATTTTATAATCATCTAGAGATGGCGAACCATTGCTGTATATATTAACATTGGTTAGAATTGTTTCCGCCTGAGACAATTTTCACCGCATTTGCCTCAAAATTAAGTTTTGGCAAGGTATGACTATTATAGGTTAAATCTGATTTGACAAAAATAGCACAACCGCCACGTTTAGGATTTCTGGTCGTAGGGTCATATTCAATGCGATCTTTTCGCATGCTAACATAACCATTAATTTTAAACTGACACTCAGGCCAGAGGAATGTTTCTTGAATGCATATTACATCCGGGTTTGAATTCTAGTTTTCCAAGAAACGCCTTTAAGATGAGGACCGTGGGCAACTAAACTCTGTGCATTCCACTGCAGAATAGTTAGCAGAAAGAGGGCTATCCATTATGATTTATCAGTGGAAAAAGAACGGAAGATATCTTGAGATATATCAATGTGGAGATGAGACTTTGCAGCGGACATAATATTTACAAATTTGGTCATCTCGGTTTGGAGCACCAAAACAGACTGTGATAACCTCTAGTAAGAATGCAACAAGATTTTCAGTGGAATTATCAACTCAGGATGGGCTGCTTTCGGCTTGATGGATCTAATAGACTGAGATTGATCCAGTGATCTATCACCATGAATAGAACACTGACATGAACATTGAGTTGAACAATTATTTGAACCTTGAGTGACCTTGACTGAAGGTCGACTTACTGCAACTTCTGGAGGAGAAGGAACAATTGGCTGTTTAGGACGAGTTTGACAGCATTTGCAAAGGACATAGACATAGGATTGTTTACTTTGACCATTTGTACGGCTTCTTTATAAGAAACTTTGTTTTCAACTTTTACACGTTGAATTTCTACCGCCCTTGTATTTATTACAACCTCTATATGCTGCTTGTGATTTCCTCCGCAATTGGAACATTTCAAGGTATCTTTAGAAGGGCAGGCATCATAAGCATGATCCCCACTGCAGCGGCACAAACTTGAACGGTACTTTTACAATTGTTTGATGTATGACCCGAACGCTGGCATTTATAACACCTAAGGGCTGGCGTACATACATGCTTCTTACCTTGAAAGACTGATAGTACATGTATACATGCTCTGGGAGAGTGTGGTACTTGCAAAAGTTAACAAAACTGATAATGTCTGCTGTTTTTCCTTACCTCTGGTTAAACGCTTAGCATCAGTCACTTTGAAGGATTTCAACTGCTCAACTATTTCATCTTCAGAAATATCCAGATCTATATTGTAAATAACACCTTTTGATTCTCATAGAAACTTTTGGGACATAAGCTTTGATTTGTTTCCCACAAATTGGCGTCAATGACAGAGCCGCTTTTGGCCTGCTCAGCCGATCTGCAGTGTAACACAATGTCACCTTTATCCAGCCTCTTTAGGCTATGTATATCACCAATATGTTTTTGAATATCCTTAGCTAGTGCAACAGGAGTTACGGATTTCAAACTGACACTAGTGTCTACCGAGGAAAAAAATAACAATGGGCTTCAGATTTTTTCCAGAAAATTTGTCTGAACATCGCCATCATGTTTCCGCTTTTGGACGCTTAGCCAACATAGCATTATATTTCAGCAAATTCGGCATGAGTAGAAGTTTCCTCAAAATCATCATGAGACGACCAGTCGGCTGTATATTCACACCGTCAGAATCTGGATTCATAACCCTATCTGCGCGAAAGCAAACGCTATCAGTGTTGTCGACAAGCCGTAATCCGCTGAAGCAAGTTCTGCATTACATAACACGCCAAAGCGACGCTACAAAGCCGAAGCTGCTCAGCCAACGAAACAGAAAACGCGCAAGGAAATTTCACTTTAACACAAACGAAAGGCAATTACAAAATATAATTACTAAATTAATTACCAAAGCAAGTTTCACCAACTATGCTTATGGTATGAAACAAAACAAACCCCAACTAACCACTATAAATCTCAGCGAGAACAATCTACACAGGAACACTGACTCAGAGAGCGAGATACACACGTCTGTCCTCGTCAGCAGACCAAACAAGACTCAGTAAAAACGATTGTTAGACAAGAGGATTACCTCCCCTTGATCATGTGAATTTGAATGTTTAGTTTGTATGTTGCAACCTACTAAATAAAAAACACATAAAACACTGTTCTGTTCAATGTGTTAGATCTGAGGGCAAAGTTAGATCAAAGAGGAAATCATACAGAATATGTTCAATCCACAAACGTTTAGCATACACCATTACATTAGTCCAGAGACCATATAATATATAGTTTCTGATTAGTCTAACACTAACTGTAAGGCATGAAAGATATATTCATTCTTTGATATGTTGAATGCCTAACTGCAAAGTCTCAATAAAGTCTCAAAACACCAGTGTCTGCACAGTAAGACCAAAAAGCCATTTCACTTTGCTACTAAAGAACACTTGATATTGTAACTTCAAGTTTTCAATACAAAGTCTTGTCAATTTAAGCAAAAATAACAAAATATTTATACTACTTATTACCGCCAAAAAATAATTAATTAACCTGTTGTGCATTAATTCCTTCATGAAACGGAATACATTACCTTGAAGAATTTTCATGGCCATAGGAGAACATATGAGCTCCCCTCTCAGCAAGACTACCTTCAATGTTGGGCACAACAAAATGTACACCACCTTTAGGATTGTCAAGTGAAAACTCAATGGAGATCCTTATGGCACGCATTTCTGAAATTGTAATAATAATAATCATCATTGTAACATTTTCACTGCAATCGAGACAGTCATAGAGTCTGTTCATTTCATTTCATGTTTTATCTCAGCTGCAAACAGATATACCAGTATTTCTTAAACATAGAATGTTAATAATGTTTTATTATTTCATACGCAAAATATAATAGGAAGGAAGAAAGTGCATCTGTCGCAAAATTATAATGCTTCATTGATGAAATGAGTAGCATGGCAAAACGATTGTTGTATTTGGAACATTTCAAGGAATTACAGACAATTAAGCTGTCTAACCTGCCATTAAAGGGAAGGCTTCCTGGGGCAGCCTGATTGTCACCTCTCCATTGGCATTGTCTGCTTCTACAGCTGTCATGGCAGACAGATGGCAGTTTTGGAAAAAATCAAGGTTCCGCCTGAAAATATGTCTCTTGGTTTTCATGTCCTGTTAATGTCAGTGAATACGTTTTTCCTAACAATCAGCTTTATTCAAGTGAATAGCATGGTGACCTGTAAATATCTGTATTTTGTCCAAGAAAATCAAATATTGATACATGAAAGAGTACAGTGATATACAATCATTGCAATCACCTTATCCTAAGCTGACGTCTCAAAGCAAGCACAGACAGATGAGAATCGGTGGCTATAATTTTTGACCACCTTCATGGCATGGCTGACATATCACTTAAATTCCAGGTTACAAAGGAATCCAGCAACTAATGTTCGCCAGATGAGAAGACAAAATGGATCAGGTAGTGAGATTCCTTAATTGCACACCATCATACTCGACATCAAGGGATGTTGTTCATATTATCAATCACTGGTTTATCTGGTCCAGATTTCATCTTTTAAAAGTCAGATTCATATGCTGGAAAATTGCCAAATAAGGCAAACAACAAACTTTATACAGATAAGAAGCACGTAGAACCTATTCATTCCAAACATATATCAATATGACCAATTAACTGTAATTTAACACAGAATTGCAACATGACTTCCTATTACAAGGTAAAATCAACAATGATGTAAAGGACTAGAAAGTGTTGTCTCCTCCTTCCCCAATTCAACGTTGAGTGAAAGTTAATGGTGCTTTATAGTAGTACATGTATACTAGCCACATAAAGAAACTGTGGATTGTCAAAATATTATCCCAGTTGATAAGTACGATAACAATGTCAAAGGTACATATAAACTTTAATGGAGGGATCATGAGACCATAACAAGTCGGGAGAATTTCAATTGAAAAGTCAATCACAATGACGTCACGAGTCCACAAGTGGGACAGGGGTCAAACGACCATGTCACAAGCTCAATAATGGGTATGTCTACCATCGGCATTGAGAACAGCAGTGCATCGACGACACATAGAGCCTATCAAACGTGCAAGGAAGGCTTGTGGGATGTCACGCCAGATTCTCTCAAGTTCTGTTGCATGGTCAAGGACGTTATCTTGCAGATGAGGAAGACGGCGTAGACGTCGATCCATCTCATCCCAAACATGCTCTATAGGGGAGAGATCCGGTGAATTTGCAGGCCAAGGCAGTAAGTCAACGTTGTGGTGTTGCAAGGAATCCATAGCAACCCTTGCCGTATGAGGGCGGGCATTGTCCTGTTGGAATGTTAACCCAGGGCCATGACGTTGCAGAAAAGGAATTGCCACAGGTCGAAGAATCTGATCCCTGTAGCCCACACCAGTTAAGTTGCCCTGAACAATCACCAAAGGAGTTCTTTGGCGTGCTGTTATTCCACCCCAAATAATCACGGAGCCACCACCAAAGCGATTCCTCTCCAAGACACAGGCCTGTGCATAACGCTTCTCCCACGCTAGCGTCTATAGGCACGTTGGACGTCCATCACTATGGGAAATGTTAAACCTGGACTCATCTGTAAAAACAACATTTCTCCACCAAAACAAGGGTCTGCGGACATGATTTCGGCACCACATTCGGCGAGCTTGTCGATGACATTGTGTCAAGATAGGCTGTATGGCGGGACGTCGTGGTCTGATCCCGTGATGACGTAAACGTTGTCAAACTGTCTTGGGGTGGATACGGCGAAGTCCTGGGATGGTGTGGGCAGTCATCACTGCAATCTGAAACCTGTGGCGAAGATGGGTCACCCTTATCCATCTGTCCTGTCTTGGAGTTGTTACACGTGGACGTCCAGAACGTGGCCGATCGATGACGTCATTTGTGTTCCGGTGGCAGTGGAAATGTGCAGCCACTTGTCGTTGAGACATTCCCCCACGGACCATCCCAATGGCCTCATGACGTTGTGCAGACGTGAGCCTTGGCATGCTATGCGTTTCAATAGCCGTTTAATTTTTTGAACGATCACAAGGGCAGGGGTTGAGCTTTCCAAAGTGACAGTATTGTGTGGCATTCATTTGCTCTGTTTCTCTTTCCCGGTATGCACGTGCAACAACGTATTGCACGTCTCAAGGACGAACCCACTGATGTCACGGAACGTGGCATGTGCATGCATGTTGGATACATGTCACTAATCTCTGAGTTTAAATCCTTATGTGTCTACACAGGTTTGATAAATTTAGATTTTAAACTTTTGTATGCACAGTTTCTTTATGTGCCTAGTATATATGTAGAACACACTTTATGGATAACAACTTCTTTTTATTCATGAGTGCGACGTTTCGATACAGATTCTTGTACTGTTGTCAAGCATGTGTGGCATTCTATATTGTACTTCCCAACTTCTAAAATGCCACTCAAAGAAGTAGTATATATGGTTATAGTAGTACATGTATATGGTTGATGCTTCTAAGCTTACTAATAATTGGTATTAAGTATTAAAAATTTGGTGAAGATGGATGAAGTGGTTTTAGAGTTATGCTCCGAACACAAACCCAACCCTTCAAAAAGACTAAGTCAAAATTTGTTGCCATTGAAACAGAAAAAAAATAAAATTGGAAAAAAAGTTTAAACTGCCAAAAGGCACATCTACATGATATGGAGAGGCAGTATAGCAAATTTGGTGAAGATTGTTCAAGTAGTTTTAGAGTTATGTTCCAAAAACAATGGGAATGCCGACGCCACAGCCGACGGAAACCAAAACCAAACAATATGTCTCACGACCCTTCGGGGGGAGACATAAATATCAACACATACTGTTTAGCATCCCCTTGACAGATCTCCAGTGTTGGGTCATTGTAGAGGAAAGCTGCTTCCCATGTATCATTGATACATACTCGGTAGATTCCTGTGCTTGTTAAGGAAGTTCACTGGTCAGGATTTACAGCAATTAACTTGTTCTGAATTGGAATTTTTTAAAACCTAGATGACTTCATACATCTGTACAAAAAAAAAAGATGGGGGTTACTATGTGTTCCAGTAGTTAGTGATGTTAGTAAAAACCTTTCCAAATTCACACTTTACAATTGTAAGTGTTTTAGTTAATGTTTGTAGTTCATCAATCAAATCAATACAAATATATGTGACATAATATGACAATTATAATTAATAGCATTAAACTTTTTATGAAACTTTAACCACATGTAGACTTAACATTCAACAGTAACATTTATATCAAAGCAAATAAATTTCTGTTAGTGTGGGTTTAAAATGTCTAAAAGTGCACACTTATGTGTGTCCCCTAATTTCTGATGTCAAACACATTGGAAATTGAGGAAACAACATGTGAAAGGGAAAAGAGTCCCTTTCATTGCCTGAATGTTACAAACCAAAAGTTTATACTATCTGTCGATGCAAGCAGCTTCCCTCAGGAATCCACAACCCATCAGCTAACAGGGTTAATGACACATTTCTTGCATGCTCCTGTGTAGTCTACTGTTACAAAACGTGTTATGACAGACCAGTGACCCCTAATCAACAGGAGTCTTATTTACAAAATCAGACAAGAAAAGGATACTGCATTGTTTACTGTTTATCTTTAACCTCCGTAAGTCCGGCTTCTGGGGGTAAAGACTCAGCTCCACATAACCCTTTAATGAAAACAAACTTGATTTAAAGTGTTAACAAATAGAAGTTCATAAAAATCACAGAGGTCACATAATTTGACTTCTAAATTATAAGCTCTCTGGTCCATTATCATGATTATCTTAATTTTTTATACTGAAAAATTCATTGTTTTCCTAAGGCCACTGGAAATGGTAATATCTAAAGATACAGAAAAAGTGTCCATTATCCATTATCAACCATGTTTATTTCAGTGACAACCTGTCAATTATTTTCTTCCACTTTTGATCTCTTGACTTTTGACATGATGCAAAAACAAACAACTGAAACTTCCACTTAATCGTAACACTGCTTTGTAACCAAAGGTAATAAATAGCACTCACAATCAAGGATTGTTTCTCGAAGTTGATGGCAGTGATACATAGTGTCTGATGGGCTGGAACAGAAAGGACAGAGAATTGTCTGTATTGTCAATTTGCCTGTCATGTCAATACATGCCAAATGTGGTATTTCTTCATCCATGTGTTATTCCACATCATATACGAAAAAGCGGAGTGATTTTGCACCATCACTTTATTGTCATCTATTATGAATTAATTGTTTAGCATATGGTTCCATGATACCATGACTAAAACATACATGTGTACAAACAATATAGAGAGGTTTTATCACAAAGTGAACACAAAGAATCTGTAGAATTTACAGATCTAAAACTTATCATTACTGACATGCTTGATTTCAGACAAATTTTATATGCAATGACTTAGTGTATACAATATGCATCTCTTAATTGAAAACACAGCTAACTGTGTTAGCATAAAAATACTTTAGAAATTTCAAAGATTAATTAAGTGGGGCTTTTCAGCAGTTCCAACACAAAAAGTTAAGGTGCATGTAAATTTCAATGCTGAACTTAAATTACTGTGAGTTGTAGGTCTATTGGACATGCATGAAAAGACCCTTCCTTGAAGGGACATGATTTTTCATTGGCACCATTGCCTTAAAATTTCAGTAATCCCTTCAAATTACAAGGTACATTATCATAACACTCAAACCACTGTACACCTTGTTACCAAAGGCAAGGGAGGTAACCCATGCTATCTTTCAATATGGTGAAAACTTTCAGACATATTTTCTGTTAAAATAGAAAATGTGTAAAGTCAAACACGTTCATATCTAACTGTATTTCATGCAATTATCCTGTCTTCGTTTGAAAAAATGAGGGGGTAATGGTTTGATCCATTTTTGCCATAGAGAAATGAACGGTAAACTGTATTTGCTGAGAATAAAACTCAGCAGCATGTTTAAATATACAAGCTGTCACATGATAATTATATTCCCAACCTATGATAAATGCATTTGCTTTAAGACATAATCTCACAGACTTTTGATACCCCGTTAACATTTACCTAAGCCCATAAACCTTAGAAGTTAGAATCTAAGTTAGATCCAGAGCTGTTATTATATCATGTTTTGGAATTCATTAACAGGCTTGACAGTTTTAGTCTGAACAGGACTATCGCGTAGCACATTCAGCACCTACTAAGAGGACTCGTTGTGACAAGTCTGAAAAGGTCTTGTAAATTAAAATTCAGAAATATCGAGTCGTACATATTTTGTATGGACGGTGATTATCAATTTTCGGGTCCTTCTTCATTTTATCCTTTTGTTCACGCATCTAAAGCAAATAAATATCTTCAGACTTCATAGTACACCGATGCATGCAACAAGACACAGGTCCAGTCAGTGGATTTTCCCTTGTTTACTGCGTGCGAATCATTGTTGATTTTGTGAAGCCGCCATTTTGAGATGTAGTCGCCATTTAAAAAATGTAGTTCCGTATTATAGAATTAAAGATCTATTTTTCTGAATCCGGCTGTTTACAACCATAGGATTTGTATATTTTCTTTTCTTGCGATTCCACTGATTTCCGAAACACTCATGTCACAATAAATTCCTTATTATACGAAAACAACATAAACCACTTTACTCAAGTATATTGATGGCGGATTGACAACTCACCAGTTGACTTATTCGACGCTTTGGAAGATATTTGGTAGAAATCAATTAAATTTGTGATTTCAAGATTACAGAAATATGGCTAGTCCAAGAACTAGACGGGTTCTAAAGGATCTAAAGATGAAAGATGACAACAACGTAAGTTGTAGTATATTTCTTAGGGTAAAATAAATTTGTTTACGTCAGTGGCTGTCCTCACATGTGATGTCATTGTCAGCCACCTGCTAACTTTCAATATGGGATTTCCCGATTTGACATATGTCTGATTAGTTGTTATCAAGTCAGATATTTTTATTCTTTTATTTTACATACAGGCCACCGAAAATGTCGAAAACGTTATTTTCATTCTTCACTTCTCATCATCTACAAGAAAATGTATTTCCAATGAGTTTGAGGACAGACAAAATGACAGCTTTAAGATTTAGAGGAAAATAATCCAATAATTTACTAGTTACAGAAAATATATTTTTCTCTCACTCAAATAAAACAAATATGACTAATATGTTCATCATTAATTGTTTGGGTAATATTATTCCATTATAAAAAAGGGGAGGTGGGGTAGCCTAGTGGTTAAAGCGTGTGCTTGTTTGAATCCCCACATGGGTACAACGTGTGAAGCCCATTTCTGCAGCATGTTGCTGGAATATTGCTAAAAGCGGCGTAAAACCAAAACTCAGTCAGCCAGTCATTATAAAAAAAATGTGAATTTAGAGATGTGTGCTTGTTTGTTATAAGGAATGCAACATCATGAAGTATTCACCAGATCATGCTGATTAAGGAGTAAGAATATACCTAAAATAAAGTATTAACCAACCCTCCATAACTTCTCCCCTTTATGTGTAACATTTCTAAATATCATTCAAAGACATGTAGGGTTCATATTTTGAAACAAAACTTTTTGCCATTCTCATGATTTTATCGTTATGTATCCAGTTTTTAGATACCTATGGATACCTAAACAGACTCTTCACATCCTACAAATAATTAACGCAATTCAAAAGAAAATATAATAGTGCCAATAGTCCATTGTGCAAATTAAGCAGAATAATGAAATAATCCCTGTTATTGAATAGTTCCAGCACTAACATTATTAGATAATATGTATTTATGAACATGATGTATGGGGGCCTTAGTTGTCAAATATACAACTGAATCCCCAAGCAACCCTCATTAGTTTCAGTCAGTGGTAGGGCTGCAACGAATACACTATGTGGCGAATATGATACCTATCATGAATATTGGGTAACAAACACGAATAATTATTCATGAATACAGTATTGATTGATGTACAATATGGAACGCCCATTTTGACAGTTTTGATTTGTCACAGCAATAACCAGTGGTCTCTTGACACTCAAATTTGGTATGTAATAGTTATAGTTGACAGTACCATGTGCGGCCTTGGCAAACTAACATGACTTGCGCTACTGCAAGGCTAGTACATATTCAATCCTTGCATATCTCACTTTCCAAAAGTACACAAGGGTTCAAGTAAAACATGCTCCCTTAAAAAAAATCGTAAATATTCGTTAATATTCGGTTCTGGTGACCACGAATAACGAATTGAATTCATGAAGCGCTACAGTTCGATTCACCGAATATGCGAGTGAATCGTTACAGCCTTAGTCAGTGGTGCACATGAGGATTGTATGTAATGAATAACAGGATACAACTAAAGCAAAGTGAATTCAAGAGATTATTTTCACCCAGCTATGATAATGTAAGGAACCAAATCCAGGCAATTTGATTTGTCAGGAAGTTCAGTTGAGTATCATTGATGCTAAATCTGACGAGTTTTGTTGATACAGAACAATAGCAGTGATAGCCATGATATCTGCAAAATATCTGTAGTCACAGCATCCAATGATTTCAACGCCCTCTGAACTTGGGTTGTATTGTTCAGTTCACAACTAATGATGCTGAATGTAAGAAGTGATAAAAAGTTAATGTAAACAAGAGATCAGTAAACACAATACTGTCAAATGCTAATCATTGCTAATTAGTTTGCCAACCTTTTCAAGTCAATACTTAATTGACAGCGAAATAAACGTCAGAATAGTTCATGGATGTTTGACAGCCTGTTGTAATGAACTTCATCATGTTTATTTGATTCAATGAGCAGGTGTTGTTGTAAGCTGATGGTAGTGTTGTATCTGGAATTCTGTTACATTATTTGAATATAAAACTAAAACTATCAGACACCGATGCCTGCTCTTTACACTTTGTTTCATCCCATCTGTTTTGTTATACATATCCAACAGGCCAATACATTTCCAACAGTTAATGTTGAAATTTGATATAATAATGTTAAAATAAAGTAAATTCCTCCAACATGTATGTCAAACTCAGGGCAGTGGGGTAGCCTAGTGGTTAAAGCGTTCGTTCGTCATGCCGAAGACCCGGGTTCGATTCCCCACATGGGTACAATGTGTGAAGCCCATTTCTGGTGTCCCCCCTTGACATTGCTGGAATATTGCTAAAAGAGGCGTAAAACCATACTCACTCACTCACTTTGTGAAACTCAACTGTAACTTGTCCTTTAATGATACACATAGTTTGGGATTGATTACAGGACTTCATCATTTTCAATTTGTTATATTTTTATCATGGCTCAGAGTATTGAGATGATTTCTTACACCCCTAATTCCCAAATGCTGTAGGTAATTGGGTATGAGACTATATTTGAGCAATTGATAAAATTGTTTACCAATTATCAATTGAAAGATAAAGCTACTCTGTTTTCAATTTTGAGGTCCTTTATCGTTGATTTAAGACCACTAAATGTAATTGTATAAACCGAACACGTTAGCAGTTCATTCATGGTCATTACTAGCAAACAAGGATAAGTTGGACCGGCGCAGAGAACGCGTTTACGAGAAGTAGACGGTGCAGGACAATGAGCAAACCCATTTGGTTTGTGAAAGGTAGAGCAGACGTAGGCTGGTGGACGTGCATTGCATGACAATGAAATTGATTCCACGCTAACTGTCGAACTCGGTGTTTGCTGAGACTACATTACACTACACTTGATCGCAGACAACATGGGGCCCCTTTGCTAGCAATGGCAAGCGCCAGTGGGCGGCACGCTAATACGGGTCATTTGTCATTTGACTTATCCCTGTTTGCCAGTAGAATCAAGTATTCATGAATACTTTAAAGAAAGAGTTTTTTTTCCTTGAACTCATCTGTTATTTATCAGTATGATAGGCAAAATGGAAAAAAGAAAATCCAAACATGCAGTGGTGTAACTTGTAGTACTTTGCCAAAGCACCTCATGGTCCTGTCAACTCAAACATTAGGCTATAAACTTTAAATTGTGACACTATTGGGATAAATTAACACGGTCAACACTATCTACTGCTGACACAATATTGTATTCATGAATAGGTATTCATATTCATTACTTTTTATTCATAATTCGTATCATATTTGTCTCGTATAGTGTATTTGTTGCAGCCCTAATATTCAACAGTATGTCTTGTTTATGCCAATATGCATTGAAAGTAATTTAATAATGCACACTGAAATAGATATTGCTTATGTTGAACTAATGAATACAATAATATGTCTCATCCAAATATGTGTGCTTGTATTTATATCGGTGAATCTTGACAGTGTGTAATGGTTATTTATATTCATCTGAAATAATATCGAGTTTCGATGCAGTATGAAGATGTCCTTTTCTAATACTGGTGTACACATTCATCTGTGTGTGTCTTGTTCAAATAACAGTATGACTGCCTCTGTGGTTTTGTGGATAGAACTGTCAACTTGTCATCGTAATGTAATTGAATAAATCAGTACTCATCATGTCATTTTCTTGGTTTTCTGGTGCAGACATACCCAGTCACGTGGATTTAAGCGTCAATTATACAAAACACAAAGTAATCTCGTTATGTATATTTCAGAACTGTTTTGAGTGTGGAGCTCATAACCCTCAATGGGTGAGTGTCAGCTATGGGATCTGGATCTGCCTGGAGTGTTCTGGCAAACACAGAGGACTTGGAGTACATCTCAGGTAAAGTTCCTCTCCTTCTCTTTTGCATGTAACAATGCTGAAAAAGTAATTTGAATTGCTACATGTTTACACTCATTATCTGACACATTTACTCTTAGTCTTATTCCAATAGTGTTGGGAATTGGTTAAAATCTCATAATTGATGATTGCTTCATTACAACCGATCAATCATCGAAAATAATTGGTTAGTTTTATTTATGAAATTTGTTTATGCACACAAAAAATAAGGAACAAACATGTAGTTCTTTGGGGTTTTTTTGGCAAAATTTCACATCTTTAAAGGATGACAAGTATGTTACGAACATAAATGTCTTGGAGTCTTAAAGATAAATTAAATCATGACTTGGAACGAGTTTGTAGTGCTTATGAAATGTAACAGACAAAACCAGCCTTGTGAAATATTTTGTTAATGAAAACAAGTGTTCCAGAATTGTTTGTGTTCGATTATGAGAAAACATGATCGATTGCTTGGTCGTTTAATCACTGCGACCAATCTTCGATTATTTCAATTAATCGGACCACCACTATATTCCAAACCTGTAATTTTTCCTTATCCTGACTCATGCTAATTATGCTTGTCTCCTTCCTCTTGCGAATGATAGTTGAACACTTGAAATCCCTTGAAGTTCCCTTTAAAAAGGCGGACGTAAAATCACTCACCCAGAGTAGCGTCCCTTTCCTCCCTTTGGCGCCCTTTTGGTCATCTGATCGACCATGCCTTGTCACTCTCCTTCTTTGCTTGGAATATCGTCGGCCCCTGGTTGTTTACTCGAGTGACCAAGCCCATCGTCACATATTTACATCATCGAGGTCTATGCAGTGCGTTCTACCTGGACGACAGGATTCAAGCTCATCAAGATCCCAGTCAACTCAGACTGCAACTAGACTTCACCATCAGGCTGCTCACTCAACTAGGATGTCTAGAAAATTTCCTCAAATCGGAACTGGAGCCGAAACAAGATCTGCAATTTCTAGGAATTCGACTCATCACACCAGTGAAATGCATAGTCTTTCCAGAGGATCGATGGGTCAAGATACAACAGATGATATCTCATGCAATGCTCTCTCTGTTGACACTACATGCTTGGCAAAGCATGCTCGGTCTACTCACCTCAGCTCAAGACATGACTCGCAGAGGGAGACTACAGTTGCGGCCACAACAAGTATTTGTGAACGCCCACCTAGACAGCCTAGATCCGTTAATACTACCGGACAGCCTGAGACCATATCTCCTATGGTGGACTCTGAAGTCAAATGTTTGCGGAGGAACCTTTTTGACAGAGCCGGTTTGCAACACTCATCTCTACATGAATGCCTCCCTACAAGGATGGGGTGCGCACTTCAACAACGAAGTGGCAGCAGGGAAGTGGTTGAGTCAGGATCAGAAGTCACACATCAATCTGTTGGAGATGAAAGCAGTAATCAACGCTTTACAACATTGGTCCAGCGTACTAAAGAACGCACGTTTTAAATCAACAAACAAGGGTCAACAAGATCAACAACTCAGCTTTCTCCTGTTCAGCATAGTCGACGACCTGAACATCTACATGAAGGCAGGCCACATTCCAGGAGCAAGGAATGTCATAGCAGACGCCCTATCTCGTCCACTACAACCATTCTCGACGGAATGGATGTTGCATCCAGAAGCATTCCAGTTCATCATACAGACTATAGGATCCCCACTAATAGACCTGTTTGCAACAAAGTTCAACAAACAGCTACCAACATTCGTCTCACCGATTCCAGATCCTCAGGCATGGGCAACAGATGCTCTAAGCATCTCATGGGAAGGACTAAACGCTTACGCGTTTCCACCTCCTCCACTGCTACCAGAAGTACTACAGAAAATCAAGCAGACGACTATGTTGCAACTGATTTTGGTTGCGCCCTATTGGCCAGCGAGGGTATGGTTTCCCGTCCTCATACAAGAACTCGGAAGTCCAACCCTGAAACTACCAGAGTGGTCGAACCTACTCGTCCATCCACACACCAAGCAAGCTCACGGGAACCCGACACTGTTCCAGCTACACGCGTGGAGCGTATTAAAGCTTGCCTGAAGACCAGAGGGTACTCCGCCAGAGCAGCTAAAGCAGTTACACTAGCTCTATGCAGGTCAACTCGCAACTTGTACGACGACAAGTGGCAGAAATGTGAACAGTATGCAAAGAGGAAAGGCTTTACAGCGGTGAAAGCAACACATCCTCAAGTGGTGGAATACTTATGTCATCTTCGACAGACGAGACACTTAAAAGGTTCAACACTCTCAACTTACTTGGCTGCCCTCAGTACAGTTATCACCATGAAAACGGGTATCAAGCTGACCAAAGCCCCGGACCAACAAAAGAAATTTAAGGCTCCTGCCTGGGATCTCAACATAGTTCTACAACATCTCACCAGTGATGCCTACAAGCCTCTAGAACGGACATCCTTTGAGCTACTAACTCAGAAAACGCTGTTCCTGATTGCCCTAGCAACAGCTGCACGGATGTCAGAAATACATGCTCTGGACTTTGAACGAACACGATTTGAAACAAGACATCGTGACATCGTACATCTTGGACTGAGATGGGATTTTATCACCAAGAACCAACTGCCCGGTCAGCCTGACAGACAGTTCCACATCCCAGCACTATCTACAGTCCTTGGGCCACAGGATAAGCAGGATCTATCCTTATGCCCAGTCAGAGCACTTAAAGTCTACCTACAGACAACTAAAACAAGGAGACGAAATTTCAAGCGCCTATTCATCCCCTTATCCACTGAGATGCCCACGGAAGTCTCACGGACAACGATATCAATCTGGATGAGAGCCGTTATACTAAGGGCCTATAAAGCAGCAGGACTTGAGCCTCCATGAGCCTCCAACCCACACGAAGTCAGAGCCCTGGCGTCAACACTTGCTCTGCATGGAAACTGCCCGATTACAACTATAATGGAGGGCTGCTTTTGGAGATCGAACACGGTGTTTGCCAACCACTACCTCAGAGACATTGCCACCGAAGATGTCTCAGGCATTCACCAGTTTGGGCCACTTGTTGTAGCACAACAACTAACGGTTCCACAAATGCGCTGAGTAAATCTCACCCTTTTATCACGTGACTTGTGAAAACCAACGCTCTGGAGAGCAATGGCTATAAGTCCATGCACACGTCTAGGACAGACTAGCATGAGTGATAGACCCTGTACTTGTATAGGACATACTCGTACATGAAGAAGGGTCCCACCTCCACTTGATGGGCGCATCAAGAGATGGAGTTGCAATAGATAACTAATGGAATATTAGTATATCTAAATCCACACGAAACTGTGAGGAGAAGTTTCGGAAGAAATCTGGCAAGTTGTGGTTCCCCCCAGAGAAGTTGAAAGAACAGAATCTTCAACAGTGCCGTCATAAGTTCCCATTGGGGGGTAATACAGGACGTAAATCTACAACTAGTGAATCCAGAACGTGGCCTAACCCACCACCATTTCTGACAGATTCTGCAAGCATAATTAGCATGAGTCAGGATAAGGAAAAGTATGTAATTTTCTGACTAAAATTGATATTTTATACTTATCCTGACTCATGAAGTTAGCCCTCCCAACCTCCCCTCTTATGGCACTCTGGATTTCCCTGTAAATCCGGTTGTCGGGCATTCATATGGAGAGAGTGACAAGGCATGGTCGGTCAGGTGACCAAAAGGGCGCCAAATGGAGGAAAGGGACGCTACTCTTGGGTGAGTGATTTTACGTCCGCTTTTTTAAAGGGAACTTCAAGGGATTTCAAGTGTTCCACTATCATTCACAAGAGGAAGGAGACAAGCATAATTAGCATGAGTCAGGATAAGTATAAAATATCAATTTTTGTCAGATAATTACATTTTTTATGATTTCAATAAATTCTATCTCATTCTTTATATTATCGTATAAGTCATTATCCTGATTGTTTCAGTGTCAACACTGTTTTTGTATTCAGTTCTCAGAATACATCCTGAAACACAAAGGTTCTGTTATTGTTTGGAACTTTATACCAGTCAATTTGTCAATATCTCAGGTGACCTATATATCTAATGTAAACTCATCACACAGCACCTGAGTGTGTGTAGTTCACAAAATACCTAGGATCATGAATCCAACACAGCATTTCACACAACACCTCACACAGCACCTCACACTGAACTTCACAATTCTCATACAGCACCTCACAGAGGCCCTCATTGTGTGTAGTTCACAAAACACCTCACTCTTAGCTCACTCAACACGTCACACAGTACCTCGCATATTTCACACAGCTCCTAATATTGTGTAGTTCACAAAATGCCTTGTATCATCAAACCCACACAGCACCTCAGACAACACTTCACACTGAACTGCACTCAACATCTAGCACACAATCTCACTCAGCATCCCACACAGCACCTCATGAAGTGGCTAACACATTGTCCTGGTTGTTGATGCAGCTTTGTCCGGTCAGTAACGATGGACAAGTGGAAGGACACAGAGCTAGAGAAGATGAAGGCAGGAGGGAACCGTAAGACCAAGGAGTTCTTCAAATCTCAGCCTGACTACAATGAGGGAATGAGCATCAGTGAGAAGTACAACACAAAGGCTGCAGCTCTCTTCAGAGATAAGGTAGTTATACAATAGGGATTAGCATCAGGGAGAAGTACAACACAAAGGCTGCAGCTCTCTTCAGAGATAAGGTAGTTATACAACAGGGATTAGCATCAGGGAGAAGTACAACACAAAGGCTGCAGCTCTCTTCAGAGATGGTAGTAGTACAATACAAAAGCTGCAGCTCTTTCAGAGATGAGGTAGTTATACAATAGGGATTAGCATCAGGGGAGAAGTACAACACAAAAGCTGCAGCTCTCTTCAGAGATAAGGTAGTAATACAACAGGAATGAGCATCAGTGAGAAGTACAACACAAAGGCTGCAGCTCTCTTCAGAGATGAGGTAGTTATACAACAGGAATGAGCATCAGAGAGAAGTACAACACAAAGGCTGCAGCTCTCTTCAGAGATAAGGTAGTTATACAATAGGGATTAGCATCAGGGAGAAGTACAACACAAAGGCTGCAGCTCTCTTCAGAGATAAGGTAGTTATACAATAGGGATTAGCATCAGGGAGAAGTACAAGACAAAGGCTGCAGCTCTCTTCAGAGATAAGGTAGTTATACAACAAGGATGAGCATCAGAGAGAAGTACAACACAAAGGCTGCAGCTCTCTTCAGAGATAAGGTAGTTATACAATAGGGATTAGTATCAGTAAGAAGGTTAACACAATGGCCGCAGCTGTCTTCGGAGATAAGGTAGTTATACAATAGGGATTAGTATCAGTAAGAAGGTTAACACAATGGCTGCAGCTGTCTTCAGAGATAAGGTAGTTATACAACAGGGATTAGCATCAGTAAGAAGGTTAACACAATGGCTGCAGCTGTCTTCAGAGATAAGGTAATTCAGTGAGAACTACAGCAAGTGTTTGGATATAATTACATCTGGGTCACGAATCCAAATAGATTGATTGTATGATGTGTTATCATGATCATGTCTTTGAAATGAGCACAATTATGGATCCATTTCCTCCACTTCTGAATATGATTTTGGATCAATTGTTCATTGCCATCTGGAAAGGGGAGATAATCACTGGATATTACTTTCTGGATTGTCTCCCCTGTACTGTATTATCAATTAATGCACATAGTTGTCTAATCAATGTTTCATTTTCTTTATCCCACTTCATTTTCTTAATCCAGTTTAACAGAACATCTAAATATGATGTTCAGATGGATAAGTAAGTGTTTTACTAGAATGCTCAAAGGTGTCCATTATCTTCCAGGTAGCCACAGAGGCAGAAGGCAAGTCATGGAGTATTGAAAGCTCCCCAGCTAGAAACTATTTACCATTCCAACCCCGCCTGGGGTCTTCCAGTTCCCAGCCCCCGACTTTCCAGTATGGACCCAGGAGGATCCAGCAGCATGACTAACAGTCACAGCAGTGGAGATCTGCAGAACAGTTACCATGATAATGCCAACTTTCAAAGGTACAGATGATTGGAATCATTAGACACTTAACACATTTGTCGATACATATTGAGATGATTGAGTCACAATACAATATGTATCCCCAAAATCAATTTGTGCCATGTCTGGGTGAAATTCTCTATCTATCTATCTATCTATCTACCTATTTTGATGGCATATATCCACTCGATGTTAAAAATGGGAATGTTTTGTCTCTTAAACACATGTGATAAAAGTTTACATTTATATAATTTTGTATGTTTCTGATTACACTCATGTTTTTGAAAGATATCTTTGTTAAATTCCATTCAATGCCTACTTTTAAATATGTCTTGATTTGTTTTCTTTTCTAGTGATGAATTCAAACAACAGAAACAGACTTTCTTTGATAGGAGAATGGCTGAAAATGCTGCTCGACCAGAGTAAGTATTGTCTGCTAACAGCTAAACAAACTGAAGACAAATCTGGGTGAACATTGTGTTTGGGGACTATGCAATACATGCAGTGTGCAGTATTTTAATTCTTCGGTTATCTCAGTTTTCTTCTATAATGTAGCATATTCTGTATCATTAGCATCTTAGTGCATCAGCATTGACTGAAATTGTTAAATATTTTCTCTGTAGTCATTTGGTCAGATTACAGAAAGATAATTTTTATCTCATTTATACTATTCATATGATACATTAGCCAAATGGTCCCAAACTCTGGTTGTAATGTGGTTGTGTTGTATTGGTGGTTATGTTATTCTCCCAGCAGCTATGTTTTGAGCATGTTAAGTAATAATATAAAATATTAGCTATTCTTTTAATATTCATGTCTGTCCAAGAAGTTGGATATTTGAACTGAAGTTCCCTGTTCAAGTTCTATCTGCTATGAATTTGACCAAGATGGTGTCTGATGTCACAGTAGCTCATGTGATATCCTTGCACATCAGAACCATAATTTTTCACTTGGCCTGCATCACATTATACATATTGTTGTTTTCAGGTGGAAGGAAAATAGACTTCATGGGATTGTGTTCTTGATATAAACATAGTTGTTGAACTTGTAATATCCCAATGACCACTCACCGGAGTTATCTCCCATTTCCCTCTGTGATTATTGTTGTCTCTTTGGCTATGAGGAGAACACATTGTTCTACTATACAGTCAGCCTACCTTCAGTTGGGTTTTATTTATTACTAGGTGAATTGTTTTTACAAAAAACACCATACCCACACATTATACAACTTATTTCCGCTTTAATTTTTCATGCACAATTTCAGCCTCACTCATGGAATTGTTTTCATGCCATTTTTGCTGTCTTGCCCATTCAAGATGCATACCTAGTGGCATCCCTTATTAATGGATGGGGTGATGTCACCCTCACGATTCTGTTGGACCCTCTGCTTACAGCTCTGGGCCCCGTTTCACAAAGCTCTCGTAAGCCTAAGATCTCGTAACTTTTCTCGTAGCATTCTTACTTCTACCGTATAGAGTGCCTAGTGGTTAAAGCGTGAGAAAGGCCCGGTTCGATTCCCCACATTGTGAGAATATTGCTAAAAGGGCTAAAACTAAACTCAGTCAGTCAGTCTACTTTAAGAAAGGTTATGAGATCTTAGGCTTATGAGAGCTTTGTGAAACGGGTCCCTGGTTAACAAGTTACAACAAGGCACTCCCTGCATCAGATTTACCCATTGGGATTTCTTTAATTAAGCTTGTCAACCAACAATTATATCATGGGGAGAACTCAATGCATTTGCTTCCCATCTTCTTCCATCAAGATCATCCTGAAACTGTAATCAAACATACAACTTATCATCAAAGCACCCTTCTTACCTGCTAACTTGAAGTCAACAGTTAAGCATAACTCTGACTCTCAGGTTGGTGGAACATACTTCTCAGTCGTTGCAACCATCATTGGAGTCTGACCAGTGTGCGAAATAGCCACTGGCCCGCTGGTCCGTGGCTTGTATAAATCCAGTCGGGCTAGTAAATATATCACTCTCTCTGATAAATCCAGTTGGGCTAGTAAATATATCACTCTCTCCGACTTGCTAAGTTAAAATACACTTTTAAATCATGAAAGATTGTGGCCTGATAAAAAAAATTCACCATTTTAGTAGCGAAATGATGAGACCCATGTGTACATTCAAATTTCGGGCCAGTGAATTAATTTGTGGGCTAGTAACTTTCAGGCATAGCTAGCCCTACTAGCTAGCGAAATTTGGAAACTATTTCGCACACTGAGCCTGACTACACACAGCTTCTAGCTACATCAGCAGAATAATGACAACATATGCTAAAGCAGTCTTAATGGCGCCCGAGCCTACCAAACTTCAACAACCTAGATTTACTGTGACAAGTTGGTACCGGTTATGTCTTACCATGAAAGCCAAGGCATTCAGCCTTTCACCAGTTTATGGTGTACTTCCTCATTCAACTATTTACCAAATACATGTAAAATTTCAAACTGACTTCTTAAGAACTTTTGACATCAACCTCCTTCTGATGTCACTCAAAGATCTTGGTTTTTGTTGGAAAAAGTCCACAAACTCCACATCGTCAAGTCACCATGAGTTTTTTGGGAAAGTATTGTCATGTGTGATGTACAAGCGTGTACATAAGTATGATTCCAGTGTTCTTCTCCCATTTGCCTTCTGTTCGGTCTAATGGTTTTACTTCATTCATTCACTATTCACCAAATGTTTGATTGTTTATTTGGGTAAAATACTATGTCAGTGTTATTCAAAAGGAAACTCACCTGTCTTGATAATTACACATGTGACACTTTGTGTTCCTGCTAGGGGTGACTATTGAGGGAGAAACAACTATTGCGATAATGATAGTCTATTGCAACATACTATTGCAATAGGTTTTTTCTCCTTGACTTGTCTCATTTGAAGTCATTTCCCAAATAAATGTATAGTTTATATGAAATAAAAACAAGTTGAAGTAGTTTCAGCCTCATTTAATAGCTGACAATAAACTTGAAACCCAGATCAAGTAAACGGTTAACTTGAGTAAACATAAACTCAATGAAGCTGCGAGTCTGCATCCAAACATCCTTTATTTTGCGCTGCGCATTTATCAATGGAAGTCAATTACTAAACTATCGATAGTCACACATACTATCGATGCATCGATAGTTTTTCGTTTCTACAATTGATTAATTGCTAGCGAAGACTCAACAATTGCAATGCATCGATAGTTCGATGCATCGTTACAGACCTAATTTCTGGCATTTAAGAGACTGGACTGATTGAATAGAGTGGAGTGGGAAGTGTAGAACAAATGCCACACTGCAGCAACAACCAATCTTTCTGATATCACCATACAGTTGTTATTAATATTTTCCTGAAAGTATGCACAACCTCCTACAGTCCGCTTATCCATAATGTAAAACAGGCTAAGTAAAACATTATAGGAATCTGTCACTTGCATTACATGTCTAAACACCATCTCTTGGACTGATGTTTTTCCTCCCCTTCAGGTTGGCTAACGTAACACATGGGAGGTAACTCCAGGGAGCTGTCATTGGGATACTTCTAGTTCAACAACGATATAAATTTATATCAAGAATAGTTTTGTCAAGTCATCTTTCAATGTATACTTTTGTTCGGAAAACCGCAGTATAGTTAATGTAATGCTGGCTAAGTATTATAACCACAATATATTCTGTTCTTTAACATATTTACAGAAATCCATTAATGTTTCTATAAATTTCAGAGGGCTGAAGCCCAGTGAAGGAGGGAAATATGTAGGTTTTGGGAACAGCCCCATTGAACCAGAAAATGAAGCTCTCTTCGACATGACATCATTATCATCAGTATGTATTTTTCCTTTGTCATGGACTTTTACAACCTATCAGTGCTGGTATTTTATGCATGATAATCAATTTAAATGCTGTATAATTGGAAAAAGACTAAAATCAGAAAATGAAATTATGAATGAGCATCAGTAAGAAGTGGTTACTCAGAGCATGGGTAATAACTAGTCATTTTGTTCTCTTTTTGTGAAAACAGTCAATGGTTTGAGGTGTGGGGCATTGCTCATCATGCATACATCTTTCTCTATTTATTTTATCCTGAAAAGTTGTTTGTTTTGTGAGATGGATTCAAGTTTATTAATAAACCACATTTTTTATGTCTGAGATGGCAAAACACCATTCAATAGACCAAATTATTGTTAAAAATGCTGAATATGATGTTCACATTAGATACAGATTTCCCTTCATTATGTGAAAAATCTGTATCTCATGTGAACATCTCATTCAGCTGAACTCCAGTCACTGAACCATGAAACTGGCCTATAAAGGTATGTAAGTACATTTTTTGTATCACATACAAGACTTCAGCTGCAATAAATAATGCAGGAAAGCACTACTTCTACTTCTAGCTTACTCAGACTTGAATCGAAATATCTACTGATGTGAGTTTAATCTCCTCACAAGTGACTCCCATGGTGAAAGAAAATGTTGATCTCTTTAAAAAAAAATTTAAAAATTAAAACTGAAGAAAATCAATATGTTCTCAATTTGTTTAAAATAAAGTTAAGTGGCTGGACCAAATGGAGTGGAGGTATACAGAAAATTCATTGAAATATTGAAATACCAAATGATAAAATGAGGAAATAGTTATTGATTCAAAATATTCTCTGGAGCTGTCTACACTATGTATGACATGTCATTGTGTTTGTATTTTCCAGGGATTGTCATCTTGGGCATCGAGCCACAAAGTTCGCCACAGCAGCTTCTGAAAAGGTAAGTCACTTTTTATCTGATCATCACACTTCCAAAATTTTTAATATTGTTCTGTGAGACACATAGACTAGTCAGGCTTATTGAACACTGCTGTTTGCACACCCTGAGTCCTTGTTTCGAGTTGAGTATATAGTTTGTAATTGATAAAATCACTTTGTGTAGTGGGTTCCTACATCACAGTGTTTGTCGGTGTTATGTGATTGTTTGTTTCTTGTTGTTGGATGTCAGTGTCTGTCTGTCAAATTGTTGTTTGTGCTTATAGGTTCATTAATCTATTTCAGGAACTGTTTTCTAGTTTTATTCCTCAATGATATCTTTCTGTATCTCTCGTACTGACACCCTGGATGCCACAGGGACATAATATTGCCAACCTCCCAATTCTGTGTTCAGGGATGACATTTAAGTCATTGCTATGTTACTGAAAACAACCTTTAAAATTAAGTACATCCTAAATGTTAATATTTTTTACTTAACCATAACATTCACGACAGAAGATCATGTATGTTTTGGGGCGGTGGGGTAGCCTAGTGGTTAAAGCGTTCGCACGTCACGCCAAAGACCTGGGTTCGATTCCTCAGATGGGTACAATGTGTGAAGCCCATTTCTGGTGTTCACTGCCGTGGTATTGCTGGAATATTGCTAAAAGCGTCGTAAAACCATACTCACTCATCACTCACTCACTTTTGAAATATTGACATTTGACATTTTGCACAGAGTACAATAAAAATGTCACGTTAGTGATCTGATGACAAACTGCCTTTCACACCATGCAAATCACATGATGACATCAAGTCAAATATATCAGGTAAAAACATGAATCCTGTGCTCAGGAAAACTTTTCTTGTGTGAAAATGTAAAGGAAGCAACATTTGGATTTTACACACTATAACCACACGATACCATTTTCTCTCTTGAGAGGTTCAATCATCTTTACATTTCTTAATTTGCTCATATTTTTTAAGAATTTTATGAAGAATACAAAAACATGTAAGAATTTTAAATAGAAACAATGATTTTGTAAATTTATCAGAAACTGTCAAACTGAAGCCACGACAGGATAAAATGAACAATAATGCATATATTTTCTTTCCCAATTAATTCCAAAGATGTCATAGAAAGATCCATATATTTCATTTTAAAATATTAAACTGATGTCTTACAGGTGCATATAATGGCCTGGTTATATCCACATTCATCCTATCTCATGTTCTATTTATTGAAATAATATTCATGTGGTATTAAATACACATATATATCATGTCAAAAGGCTTCAAGTTCTCCTTTAATATTTATGTTTTTCACACTTGGAAAAAAAATTAGGTGACATTTATATTGAGCAATGTACAGCTACATTACAATGGTAAAGATGAAAATTGTGAGCAAAACAGTTTGGCCCCTTTTTCTTTTCAGGGAATACACGTCTCCATCTTTTGACAGCATAGTGAAAATTCAGTGGTCCTCATTTGAAACAACTTAGTTATTCTGTTATATGGGGTCGGTGGGGTAGCCTAGTGGTTAAAGCGTTCACTCGTCACGCCGAAGACCCGGGTTTGATTCTCCACATGGGTACAATGTGTGAAACCCCTTTCTGGGGTCCCCTGCCATGATATTGCTGGAATATTGCTAAAAGCGGCGTAAAACTAACCTCACTCACTATTATATTATATGTTTGTAACGTTACACATGTGCTTATAACTCAGTTTGATGTCTCATTAAATCGTTCAGATGTAAGTCAGTATTTAGGTGGCTTACACTTACAGTTCACAGAAAATTGTCAGATAAACAATATTAAACCTACTGTTTGTTTTTCACACCAATGCTATGTCTGAAATTAAGGCAATTACCTCAGATAGAAAATTTCTTATTCTACATGTCAGTGCAATACTAGGAGGCAGAGCCAGTGTTGTTTGAAATCAGTCATAATGTTCACTGTTAAGAATGACTCAGCATCAAGAGGGTTAAACTAATGTCAACTACATATTCTCAGTTTTCAGTGAAACTGCGTCACAGATGACATATGAAACTTGGAATGTAAAGTGTCACGCATTTTGATGGCGATGACAGTGAATGTGATGATATGTTCTTCCGAAAAATAATTATCCCAATTTAATGCAAAAGGAGAGCTGAAAATCTGTGATGGAAAAACTACTGCAACAGAGTTATACAACATTACACATTGCATATCACTTGCTTTGTTGATATTTTTGTTCATTCCAAATCAATTTATGGCAAAACATGAAGAGACAATGTTGTAATCCTAGTATGTGGTGGAGCTCCACAATTCAGATATTTTTTGTTTTAAATTATGGCAGAGCAGCACGTTTTACATTAAAGTTAAAATTCTATAAGATCAGACCATGGTTGTTTTTTTTATCCCCAGGGAAATTTGTTTTCCATCATTATATTCTCAGCCATAAATGATAAAAATAAACTTTAATGAAGCATGTTTCAAAATGATTTTTAGATATGGGTTTGGTGCTAAACTTTCTCGTGCTAAAATATTGATTGAAAAGACTGTTAACTGGTCTAAAGGTCAAATGGGCAGTGGGGTAGCCTAGTGGTTAAAGCGTTTGCTCGTCACACTGGGTTCGATTCCCCACATGGGGGATGAAGCCCATTTCTGTACTCATTTCCATACTCACTCACTCTTTGTCAAAACAGTTGCCAAGATGATATTGAGTGCCAATAACTTGTTGAATTTCATCCACTTTCACAATATCCTCAGATTCTCAGATCATAGCGTCACAACAACAGTTTTAAGGGCCCTTGTTTTAAGCCATTTCTGGTTGGGTGGTTTGTTGTTTAAAACTAAACGTCAGTCAATCAGTCAGTCAATATTCCAGCTTTTATTCCATTTGGTGGCGGTCTGTAACGCCTCGCCAGCAATATTCCAGCTATATGGTGGCGGTCTGTAAATAATCGAGTCTGGACCTGACAGTCCAGTGATCAACATCATGAGCATCGTTCTACACAATTGGGATACGTTGACATGTGACAACTAAGTCAGCGAGCCAAACCACCCCATTCCCCTTAGTCGCCTAAGCATTGGTTACTGAAGACCAATTCTAACCCTTATCTTCATGGGTCAAGGGACCTTCCCCACAACTCTGTCACTCATATAACTGGTCTCAACCACAATTATTGATGTTGTTAAATATATTCTTGCACATTCCCTAAATTTGCAACTACACCCAGGTGAACTGCAGTACATGTTTTATACTTGTATCGGTTCATCTTATGTCCTTTGCCAGTGTTTTTCTGTATGAAGAACCCAGGGATAGTATTCTATCAGTGAGTGAGTCAGTGAGTTTAGTTTTATGCCACTTTTAGCAATATTCCAGCAATATCACGGCGGGGGACACCAAAAATGGGCTTCACACATTGTACCCATGTGGGGAATCGAACCCATGTCTTTGACGTGACGAGCGTATGGGAGAAAATGACCTATTTACCAGACACATTATTGTAAATGCATAATGTAATATTTACAAGCATTAATGAGATGATTTGGTGAAATATGTTTTAAAAAAACGAGTTGTTAATGTATTGGTTTGAACAATCAAGCTGTGTTGTTTTCACAAATAAACACTTGACTGCTACTGGTATGTAAACTGGAAAATGATAACCAGCAAGTATGGAAGTTTTCATTCTGGTAAATCTGTTGATTAGACTCACAATATTGCAGTAAATAGAACTTCCATCAGTCTTGTAGAAGTGTAAAGGTTTGACTCTGCTTCTAAAATATACAAGCAATGGGAACCAAACGGAGACTTGATGCATTGCATGTTATATGTTAAAATGTATCTGAATTTAGATGTTATGGGAATAACAATGCCATATGTACTGATTAATATCTCAGGGCCCCAAGGTGATGGCAGAATTGCTAAAAATGCTATGAATTGAAAATGGATGCAAACTTATTTTGGAATTTTTTTATTAGGTAAGATGGTTTCAACAAACAGAAATCTGATCTCACTGCTGCAACATGGGAGAGGGTGTTCTTTAAACAGTGGATTGACCCATGAAGATCTGGGGTAGAACAGGTCTTCAGCAACCCATGCTTGCCACAAAAGGCGACTATGCTTGTCGTAAGAGGCTGACTAACGGGATCGGGTGGTCAGGATCGCTGACTTGGTTGACACATGTCATCAGTTCCCCATTGCGCAGATCGATGCTCATGCTGTTGATCACTGGATTCTCTGGTCCAGACTCGATTATTTACAGACCGCCGCCATATAGCTGGAATATTGCTGTGTGTGGCCTAAATCTGAACTCACTCACATAAACAGTGGATTAGGAGAAAGCCTATTAACTCTTGAACCAGTGGCTAATCCATTTCTCATATATACAGTGGTGTGCCATAATTATGTCGTAAAATGGCCCCTGGGCAGCAGTGAGTAATAGGTGGGGGTCAAGTTAAAATGCTTGGTGCTCTCAATCTACAAAATGATGGGGGATTAAATGTAGGGGGAGTAACTCTCATCATCTGCTTCATGTAAACAAGTTCAAGGTCAACTTCTCAAAATGGGGAAGAGAAGGAAAAGCATGTCAGAGGAAGTCAGGCTAATCCATTTCTCATATATACTGCACTGTCATCTTTTGAAATAACGCCCTTTGTGATAATGCTGTTTCGGTTAAATATGTGACTCCATAAGAAAAAAGATGCCCAGTGATCATACATCTTCAAGTCATCCAAAATTGCATATCAACAAATCCACAGTTCAGGTTCAGGATTGCAATAAACAGTGTTCATCGTACATACATATGTTCATTACCTACGAGGGCAAACATATCGGGGTTCATAATTTTCATATTATGCCCTAGGGCAAAATACCCCTTTGTCATGGTGACAGGACGTCATGAACAATGCTATGACATCACGTTTCTTCTATGACATTGCGTTCTACATGCGGCGACGGCGGGCAGACAGCCTATGTTTGAAAGTAGATTTGGGTTAGTTTCCTCAATTTGACGACTTCGGTAATAAACAGAATATTACA